GCACTTTGGGAGGCCGAGGTAGGCAGTTGATCAGGTCAGGAGTTTGAGACTAGCCTGACCCACATAGTGAAACCCCATCTCTACTAAAAATACAAAAATTAGGCATGTTGTCACGTGCCTGTTGTAATCCCAGCTACTTGAGAGACTGAGGCAGGAGAATCACTTGAACCTGGGAGGTGGAGGTTGCAGTGAGCCAAGATCACACCACAGCACTCCAGCCTGGTGACAGAGCAAGACTCCATCTCAAAAACAAAACAAAAGAAAAAACTCTGGTTCCTAAATTTCCGGGGAGACTTATTTGAATAATAATAAAACTCTTGGCCGAGTGTGGTGGCTCATTCCTGTAATTTCAGCACTTTGGGAGGCCAAGGTGGGTGGACCACAAGGTCAAGAGATCAAGACCATCCTGGCCAACATGTTGAAACCCCTTCTCTACTAAATATACAAAAAAAAAAAAATTTAGGTGTAATTTTTAATCTCAAAGTAAAATAAAATAAATTATAAAACTCTTGTCTTCTGCAGAGTCAGCTCTGTGTAAATTACTCTTTCTCTATTGCAGTTTCCCTGTCTTGTTAATTTGGCTCTGTCTAGGCAGTTGACAAGGTGACCCCATTGGACGATTACAGTTATTTTCTGTCAATCATTTGATAGCCTACAAACTTCAGGGGTTTACCTATGTAAGAAGCTTGAGATTAAATACATGCTTATTTTAGTAACTAATGCAAGATTTAGCTATTTTAATTAAACCAATATTAATGTATAATTTATGAAAAATTACTGAAGCAAAGATCATTCTGTTTTGGGCTGGCTTTATACTTTTGCCACTTTTATGCCAAATTTTGACACCTTGTAATGTTAGTAACAGATGTGAAATCTTAGGTTCTTGGTGCCACGAACAAAGAATTGGACATAGCACACACAAATAACGAAGCAGAAAATGTTTATTAAGCACTGAAACACTCTTAGGAGAGGGGAGAGTGGGCTGATCTCTGAGAAATGAGATGAATCTGTTTTGTGTATTTCGGATCTTTTTATACATTTTTCTCTTTTCAAGCTGCCTAATCACTATCCAGCATCTGCCTTTTGATTGACAGGTTGGTTGCATACGTTGGCCCCTATGCACTTGTGCATCACCCCCATCTTATAACTTTAAGTACATACATAATACTGCAGTCCGTATGCATGAGCTTGAATGAGCTAATAATGTGCAGGGTCACATTAAGAACAACTTTTCTGTCTAATGGGTATACCATCTTCAAGGGACGGCCTCGTGCTGGTTTGGTCTGAATCTAGCCAGCCACGGGCTCCTTACTCACTTTCGGTTTTGTTTGTTTGTTTTTGAGACAGAATTTCACTCTTGTTGCCCAGGCTGGAATGCAATGGCAAGATCTCGGCTCACTGCAACCTCCGCCTCCTGAGTTCAAGCCATTCTCCTGATTGAGAGTAGCTGGGACTACAGGCCTCCTGAATAGCTGGGATTACAGGCATGTGTCACCATGCCCGGCTAATTTTGTAATTTTTTTTTCTATTGTAACTGTCCTCTGAGTAAATGAATTGAACTAACTTTATATTTTTAGTAGAGACAGGGTTTCTCCATGTTGGTCAGACTAATCTCAAACTCCTAACCTCAGGTCATCTGCCTGCCTCAGCCTCCCGAAGTGTTGAGATTACAGGCATGAACCACCACACCTGGCCAAGAATGTTGATAAAAACCCTTACATTTTACTACAGCTTGACAACCCGTTCAGGACCCCTCTCTATGACAGAGCTGTTTTTTTCTGTAGCCTGTTAGACTCCTGCTCCAGTCTCACTCTGGGTGTGCCTCTGTGTCCTTGATTTCCTTGGCCTTGAGACCAAGAACCTTTGGTTTTTCATTCAGGCAACCTGGCTGTTTTAGTAGTTTTGAAAAAGAGAAAGAAGGTCCTGTGCTACATCGGTTATTTTCTCACAAAGTGTACATGCTGGGAAATAGGATCCTGGTTTATATGTGGTAAAGCTAGGACTCTAGGGATAGCATGGGAGGTTGAGAAAAATGCACTGTTATGGTCAAGTCTGTGGAGGCCTAATTAGGGAAGAGGAGTGAGGCCGGCAGGATCAGGGAAAGCAAAGAGATAAAGCGGATAAGCTGTAAATGTACCCTTCCAGGTGGTTTATGCCTCTGATCCTAGCACTCTGGGAGGCCGAGGTGGTCAGACTGCCTGAGCTGAGGCGCTCCAGACCACCCTGGGCAACATGGTAAAATCCTGTCTCTACTAAAATACAAAAGAAAAGAAATTAGTTGGGCATGGTGGTGGGTACTTATAATCCCAGCTTCTCTGGAGTGTGAGGCAGAAGAATTGCTTGAACTCGGGTGGTGAAGGTTGCAGTGAGCCTGATCCCACCACTGCACTCCAGCCTGGGTGACAGAGCAAGACTGTCTCAAAACAAAAACCAACAACAAAAAATATATATTTTTTTAAATCTGCCTTTCTTCATGGTCCAGGACACATAAACGAACAAGAGGAAGCAGATAAACTGTAGCTCTGTTTTTCTTTATGGCCCAGGACATATAGCCCTTCTGTGCAGATAATGTACATAGCTCATAAACTTTCTGCTTCAATTTTTCATCAAACACCTAACAGAAGGAGGCAAGTTAGGTCCCTGCTACCTTGGCATTACCTTTTATTTATTTATTTGTTTATTTGTTGAGACAAAAGTCTCACTCTGGCTCCCAGGCTGGAGTGCAGTGGTGGGATCAGGCTCACTGCAACCTCTGCCTCCCAGGTTCAAGCAAATCTCCCATCTCAGCATCCTGAGTAGCTGGGAGTACAGGTGTAGGTCACCATGCCCAGATAATTTTCATATTTTTTGTAGAGATGGGGCTCACCATATTGCCCAGGCTGGGCTGGAACTCCCAGATTCAAGAGATCTGCCCACCTTGGCCTCCCAAAGTGTGGGGATTTACAGGGGCAAGCCACTTTGCCCAGCCGAGTTTCCTCTTACAAATCAGTCAGATTGGATTGGAGCCCACTTTACACGATTATTTTCACTTAATCACTCCTTTAAATGCCCTATATCCATTATATTCTGAGGTATTGGGTGTTAGGACTTCAAGATACGGTTTTTTGGAGACATGACTCTGCTCATAACACTCTGTGTTCTGGACTCCTAAACTTTATGTCCTTTTTTTTTTTTGAGCCAGAGTTTCACTCTGTTGCCCAGGTTGTAGTGCATTGGCTCTTGGCTCACTGCAACCTCTGCCTCCTGGGTTCAAGTGATTCTCCTGCCTCAGCCTCCCCAGCAGCTGGGATTACAGGCGCGTGCCACCACACCTGACTAATTTTGTATTTTTAGTAGAGACAGGTTTTCATCATGTTGTTCATGGCTGGTCTCGAACTTATGACCTCAGATGATCTGTCCACCTCAGCCTACCAAAGTGCTGGGATTACAGGCATGAGCCACATAGGACATAAAGTGCCCAGCCAACTTTATGCCCTTTCATGCAAGATCCCTTCACTTCCATCCGAATAAAAATCATTTATTTATTTATTTATTTATTGAGACAGGGTCTCTCTCTGTCATCCAGTCTTGAGTGCTGTGACATAATCATGACATTGCAATCTCGACCTCCTGGGCTCAAGTGATCCTTCTGCCTCAGCCTCCCAATAGGTGGGACCACACATGCAGGCCACCATGCCTGGCTAATTTAATTTTTTGTACAGACAGGGTCTGGCTCTGTTGCCCAGGCTGGTCTCAAATCCCTGGCCTTAAGTGATCCTGCCGCTTCAGCCATCCATGTAGCTGGGACTACAGGAGTGTGCCACTAAGCCTGGCTAATTTTTATATCTTCTGTAGAGACAAGGGTCTTGTTATGTGCCCAGGCTGGTCTTGAACGCCTGAGCTAAAGCAATCTGCCCGACTTGGCCTCCTAAAGTGCTGGGGTTGCAGGTCTAAGCTACTTTGCCTGGCCCATCTGAAAAGTCTTAATCCATATCAGTATGAACTCTAAGCCCAAAAAGCACCTAAATATTATCTGAATCACATATGGCTGAGACTCAAGGTGTGGTTCATCATGAGGCAAAATTTCTGCCCAGCTTTGAATCTGAGAAGCCAGAGAAGTTATCTGCTTCCAAAATACAATGGTGGGACAGGCATAATATAGACCCTCAGAATTGGACATTTGTACTTTGCACATGTAAGTAAGTGCATGAAGTATTTGTCTTTCTGTGTCTAGCACAGAATGTCTTCTGGGTTCCTGGATCCAGTCACCGCCCCACAGCCAATCCCCACCGAGATCCTAGCTTCTCTGGTAAGACTGGATGGAGTCCACCAAGCTCCCAAAAATTGGTTTTGACTTAAATTAGTTCAACTTGTTAAGAAGTATTCATCTTAGTTTCCAATATAAGTGGACCATAACTTTAAGCTTCAACCTTACATTCTTAAACATTAACTTAAAATGGGCAAGAAGCAACGGTGCTTCATAGGACAAGGAATAGTCACAAATATTCCCAAATCTAGGAAACAAAATCCTGCTGGGTGAGGCAGAGTTAAGAACAGGCCCCTCCTCGGCCCCGCCCACCCCTGGAGGCTCCGCTTTATCCCCCACTTTTCGGCCCAGCCAAGCCCACCTAGTTATGTCCGCTACCGCCCCGTTCCTCCCACCACCCTCTCAGGGCCCCGCCCTTTCCCAGTCGGGCCCCGCCCCAGGCCGCACAGCTTTTTCTTTCCGCTCCTAGTTTCCGGCACACCCGGAAGCAGATCGCGCTGGGAAGAGGCCACGTTGCTGTGCCTGTGTTTTCGTCTACCTGGGTTAAACATTTGCTTATCTCCGTGAACCTGGATTAAACGTTTGCTTCGTTCCGTGTACCTGGATTAAACATGCGCTTCGCAGTCCATTCTCCATACCCGTGACCGCGGGATCTCTGCGGACCTTAAAATACCCGCAACAGCCCCTTCGTCCCAAGTAAGTCCGATTATTGCCTCCCTTTCGGTTTAGAATCTCTCAGGCTGTTCCTTGCTCCCTGCCTTTCTGCGTTAGGAACATGTAGACAACCGCATTCAGGTCATGTTTCTGCTTAAAACCCTTGTTGACCTCTGCTTGGGCCCCGGGCCCCCACTCGCAGGGTGGATTCCTGCCCGTCGTGACCCCCGAGCGTCTCCCTTGTCGGCTCCTGCAGGGGAGCGCCCGCCGCCCAGCTCCTGAAGTAGCCGCTTCTCCTCCCAGGTCCTGGGATTCTGCAGACCCTCCCTGTTCTGAGACTCCGTCTCCCGCCACCTTGTGTCCTCCTCACGCCGGGTCCTTCTGCTCCCCAGGCTTCCCTTTCACAGCCACTGCTTTCCCTGACCCCGCGTTGGGGGAGGTGACCTGAGTCTGTCTTGTGACATCCAGTGTTCGTTCTTCCCAAATTTTACTCCATTGGAAAGTGTGCTCTTCTGCGACGTGAGCATCTTATTCCTTCCCTTTCCTCCTGAATGTGTGGGTGAGGGGGATCGGGGAAGGAAAAGAGGGGGAGCGACGGGGCAAAAGGAAAAACCGAGGAGAAAAGAATGAGGGAGACGCATAAATATACGGCATAATGGATGATAATTTAGGGATTTGCAAATAGACAGCAAGAGTGAAAGAGAACAGATGGAGAAAGTAGCAGGGGGAGAAAGCAAATAGGGAAATTTAGAAAAAAGGGGGAACCTTCAGGGAGATGAAGGGCAGCAAAATAGAGAGGGGTGGCCAAGGAGGAGGCACTGCAGACAGACGGAGGAGAAGATAAAAGAGTTGGAGCCGCGGCTGACAGAGCGATGTATGTGGTGCTGGGACTGAAAGAGAGGACAGTGGGTGACAAGCAGAGTAGAGAGAGAACCACAGCAGGAAGGAAGCTTAGGAAGTTGGGGGTGCTAGAGAGTGGGAACAAAGGAGATGTAAAGAGGGAAAAGGGAATTTAACCGGAGAGCAGAGACAGAGCTCAGTTGGAGGAAAAGAGGCAGAAATATGTGGAGATTGGGGACAATTGGAAACATTGGGGAGAAAGAGCAACAGAGGTGACATAAGTTGGGAAGCATTGGGCAGAACAGACGTAAAAGAGGGAATAAAAAAGGGGTGAAAAACAGAAAAGGGGGGGAAAAAAAACCACTTGCAGAATGAGAGAGAGAAACACATAGTAGTGAAGAAAGCGGGAGAGGACACAGGCCAGATGAGCGGTGAGTTGACTGGATATGGATGGTGGTTGTAATATATTGATTTGAGGCTTTGTACTCTCATTTAAAATATGTTTCTTTAAATTGTACTCATAAGGATGAAAATTACCAAAGGTTTTTCTGTAAGATTTGTGCATTTTGTGTTTATTTGCGTCAAAGGATAATTGAAATGCCTGTTTAACCAGAGGGTAGTGACTTGGTCCAGTTACTTTTGGTTACTCTCTTCTTTCCAAAGATAGAGTAGAGGATAAAGGAGGAGAGAAGTGGGGCAAAAATGACTGTCACTACAAGATAGGTCTTTGGTGTTTTTGTTTTCTTTTGTGTTTTTGGGATAAGGCTCTCTCTATGTCGCGCAGGCTGAAGAGCAGTGGCATAATCTTGGCTTAACTGCAGCCTTTACTTCCTGGCCTCAAGCAGTCTTTCCACCTCAGCCTCTCAGTGTGCTGGGATTACAGGTGTGAGCCACCACACCAGGCCTATAAGGTATGTCTCCGAAGGAGCATTAGAAGTCTTGGTGTTTTTTGTTTTTGTAATGAATTTACTTTTTTCTATGTAGTTGCTTTACAGTTGATTCATTGTTATTTTGGAAGCTTGAGATAAATTTTATTCAATTGCTTCTTTTCTATAGTTGCTAATTCAGGAAATAAGATTTGGTGGCATCCTGTAATCAGCTGATGTCATTCATTTCTGAATATTAAGTGCCATCATTTTTTAAACTTTTACCCCGTAATTTATTAGATTTTTCAAAAACTTTCCAAACTGTTAAGGTGTCCAGTATAGGTTAGTCACCATGGTGTACGTTAGATTCCTCAGAACTTCATTTTATAACAGAGAATCTGTACCCTTTAACCAACATTTCTCCATTTTCCCCCACCCAGCAGCCCGTAGCAACAACTGTTCTACCCTGTTACTATGAATTGGACTTTTTTAGATTCTACTTGTGAGATCACACAGTAATTGTCTTTGTGTCTGTCTTATCTCAGATAGCACAATGTCTTCCAGTTTCATCCATGTTGTTGCAAATAGCAGGATTTTCTTTTCTTTATGGTTGAATAATATTTCTTTATATATATGTACACATACGCACTCTGTATATCTATATCTATACACATACATATATATACACACATATATATTTCTTCATGGATGGGCTCTTGGGTTGTTTCCATATCTTGGGTGTTATGAATAATACTGTAGTGGTGATGGGGACAGATATTTTGTAACTGTTTTTGTTTTTGTTTTTTCAGTAGATACACGGTCTCTGCTATGTTGTTCAGCATGGTCTCTAACTCCTGGTCTCAAGCGATCTTCTTGCCTCAGCTTCTGGAAGTGCTAGGATTACAGGCGTGGACTACTATGCCTGGCCTAGATTGTCTCTTCAGGATACTAATTCCTTTGTTTCCTTTGGATATATACCCAGGAATGGGATTGCTGGATTTCATTGTTGTTCTGTTTTTAATATTTCGAAGAGCATCCGTACTGTTTTTCGTAATTGCTGTACTGATTTGCACTCCCAGCAGCAGTGTACAGGGGCTCCTTTTTCTCCATATCATTGCTAACGCATTTGGTAACAGCCTTCATAAGAGGAATGAGGTGATAGTTTATGGTGGGCTTCATCAGCATTCCTCTGATGATTATGATCTTGAGCACCTTATTATATACCTGATGGTCATTCGTATGTCTTATTTGGAAAACGATCAGGTCCTTTGCCCATTTTTATTGAGATTATTTGGGGTGTTTTGTTATAGAGTTGTAGGAGTTTTTGTATATTTTGGGTATTAACCACTCATGAAATACGTTGTTTGCAGATACATATTTCTATCTTATAAACTGCTTTTTCATTTAATTCATTGTTTCCTTTGCTGTGCAGGAGCTCTGCCAGCCCCCCCCCACCCTCCATCCCCCACCCCCTGCCCCCCAGACAGAGTCTCACTCTGTCGCCCAGGCTAGAGTGCAGTGGCACAATCTCAGCTCACTGCAACCTGTGCCTTCCGAATTCAAGTGATTCTCCTGCCTCAGCCCCCCAGAAGCTGGGATTACAGGTGTGAACCACCACTCCCAGCTCATTTTTATTTTTAGTAGAGTTGGGGGTCTCACCATGTTGGCCAGGCAGGTCTCAAACTCCTGACCTCAAGTGCTCTGCCTGCCTTGGCCTCCCAAAGTGCTGGGATTACAGGCATGAGCCACCACGACTGGCCAAGCTCCTTAGCTGGACATAGTCCCACCTCTTAGTTTGATGTAGTCCCGTCATTTGTTGCCTGGGCTATTGGTGTCCTATCAAAAAAAAAAAAAAAATCATTGCCAAGATCAAGGTAATGGAGCTTTTTTCCCCTATGTTCTAGAGTTTTATAGTTTTAGATCATATATTTAAGTCTTTAATCCATTTTGAGTTTATCTTTGCATATAGTATGAGATAAGGGTCCAGTTTTATATTCTTGTGAATGTGACTATGCAGTTTTCCTGACAGGATTTCTTGATGAGCCCATCCTTTCCTCATTGTATATTCTTGGTGCCCTTGTCAAAGGCTAGTTGTATACGTGCATGTTTATTTCTGAGCTGTCTTGTGTTCGATCGGTCTCTGTGTGTTTTTATGCCAGTATTACACCGTTAGAATGCTGTACCTTTATAAGATAGTTTGAAATCAGGAAGTATAATGCCTCTAGCTTGTTCTTTCTCAACACCGTTTTGGCTCTTTGGAGTTTTTTTGGGGTTGTATAAAAGTTTTAGGGTTTTTTTCTTTTTATCTGTAGCATCGGAGTTCTGATATAGGGATTGTGCTGAATTTGTAGATCCTTTTGGTAGTATGGACATTTTAATAATTTTTTTTTTTTTTTTTGAGACGGAATTTCGCTCTAGTTACCCAGGCTGGAGTGCAATGGCGCCATCCCGGCTCACTGCAACCTCCGCTTCCTGGGCTCAGGGAATTCTCCTGCCCCAGCCTCCTGAGTAGCTGGGATTACAGGCACGTGCCACCATGCCCAGCTAATCTTTTTATCTCTAGTAGAGATGGGGCCTCACCATGTTGACCAGGATGGTCTCGATCTCTTGACCTCGTGATCCGCCTGCCTCGGCCTCCCAAAGTGCTGGGATTACAGGCTTCAGCCACCGCGAATAATTTAAAATTATTCTTATGATTCATGAACATGGGATAGCTTTCCATTTCTTTGTACGTTCTTCAATTTTTTTGTGTTTCTTTCTCTTTTTCTTTTTCTTCTTTCTTTCTTTTCTTTTCCTTTCTTCCTCCCTCCCTCCCTTCCTTCCTTCCTTTCTTTCCTTTCTTCTTTCTTTTTTGCTTTCAAACAGCCTCACACTGTTGCCCATGCTGGAGTGATGGCATGCAGTCGGGCGATCATACCTCACTGCAGATTTGAACTCCTGGGCTCAAGCAACCCTCCTGCCTCAGGCTCCCAGGTAGCTAAGACTACAGGTATGCACCACCATACCTGGCTACTTTCTTTTCTTTATAGAGACAGAGTCTCACTCTGTTGCCCAGGCTGGTCTTAAACTCTTGACCTCAAGCAATCCTCCCACCTCAGCCTCCCAAAGCACTAGGATTACAGGCATGAGCCGCTGCGCCTGGCCAGAATGCCATAGTTTCTTAGCTCAGGTTCTCTGGGACATGAGGTACTGAGACTGAGATTTGCATGCAGGGTTTTCATTGGGACACTCATAATCACACCTGATAAGGACTGAAGACGGTGTATTTAGGAAATGTTATCCTGCAGTGTATGTAGAGTTGACCCTTGAACAATGTGGGTGTTAGGGTGATGAGCCACAGAGTCAGAAATCCAGGTATAGCTCTTAGATTTTACTCCTTCAAAACTTAACCGCTGATAGCCTACTGTTAACCTGAGCCTTACTGTTAATAGTCTGTTAACACAAATTTTGTATGTTATGTGTATTATATACTGTATTGTTAAAGTAAGCTATATAAAAGAAAATATTAAGAAAATTATGACCATAATTGCCCAGTAACTAACACCCATAATCCCAGCATTTTGAGAGGCGAAAGTGGGAGGATCACTTGGAGACCAGGAGTTTGAGATGAGACTGGTCAACACAATGAGGCCCTGTCTGTACAAAAAAAAAAAAAAGAAAAAGCCAGACATGATAGTGCACACCCATAGTCCTAGCTCCTTAAGAGGCTGAGGCAAGAGGATTGTTTTGCATGAGCCAAGGATTTTAAAGCTGTGGTCGGTTGCAATTGCACTGCACATAAGCCTCGGTGGTAGAGTGAGACCTTGTGTCTTAAAGGAAAAGAAAAGAAAGAAGGAAAATCATAAAGAAGAGAAAATCTTTGCTGTTCACTAAATGGAAATGCATCATCAGGTGTCTCTATTGTGATCATCTTCACATTGAGTAGACCGAGTAGGAAGAGGAAGAGAGGCTGGTCTTGTTGTCTCGGGGTGGAAGATGTGGAAGAGATGGAGAAGAGAGGAGAGGGAGGAGGTGGGGGCATACTCAGTGTAACTTTATGGAAATACATCATAATTCGTGTCTGACATTTTTGTTATTTCATTTCCCTAAGAATCATAAAATTTCTGTGTGGCACCAATTCTTTTACTGTTTGCCCAGATTGTAGAAGAGCACTGAAATTATTATCCTGAATAATCAAAACTCTTCTTCCAGATTGTCTGATGTCAGTTTGTTTTCTGGCTTTTTATGTCTTCTTCCTCTTCGGGTACTGGTGCTAAAGCACTCATGTTCGTCAGGTTGTCTTCTATTAATTCTAGTATAGTGTCTGTTAGCTCTTGAATTTCTCCAAGACCTATATCTTGAATCCCTCCACCCCCACCTCTTTTTCATGTCATATCCCAATCTTTTTCATGATCTTCTTGATTGTCTTTGTTGTAAATCCTGTGAAGTCTTGCAAAACATCTGGACACAGTTTTCTCCAGGAGAAATTTATTGTTTTGAGATTGATGGCTTTAGCAGCTTTTTTCTTTTTTTGTATTTCAAGTTCTGGGATACATGTGCAGAATGTACAGGTATACACGTGCCATGGTGGTTTGCTGCACCCATCAACCTGTCATTTACACTAGGTATTTCTCCTAATGCTTTCCCTCCCCTAGCCACCGACCTGCCAACAACTCTTTTTTTTTTATAGCAACGACGGAGTCTTCAATGATGTGATCCTTGCTTACTTTTATCATAGTCTCTGTATTGTGGTTTTATTATTTTATTTTATTTCATTAATTAATTTTTTTATATTTTGTTTTATTTTTTGAGATGGAGTCTCACCCTGTCGCCCAGGCTTGAGTGCAGTGGTATAGTCTCCGCTCACTGTAACCCTGTCAGCCTCCTGGGTTCAAATGATTGTCTTGCCTCAGCCTCTCAAGTAGCTGGGATTCCAGGCACCTACCACCACGCCTGGCTAATTTTTGTATTTTTAGTAGAGACAGGGTTTTACAGTGTTGGCCAGGCTAGTCTCAAACTCCTGACCTCAAGTGATCTGCCCACCTCGGTCAGCCTCTCAAAGTGCTGGTATTACAGGCGTGAGCCACTGCTCCAGGACACTCTCTTGTGACTGTAAACTTCCATGGCATTAACAATTCTTTCTAGGGAGGGGAGTACTAAACACTGGGGTCTATTGGGGGGAAAAGGGGAGGGTCAGTGGGAGGGGGAGGTGGGGAGGGATAGCCTGGGGAGAAATGCCAAATGTGGGTGAAGGGGAGAAGAAAAGCAAAGCACACTGCCATGTGTGTACCTACACAACTGTCTTGCATGCTCTGCTCATGTACCCCAAAACCTATAATCCAATAAAAAATTAAAAAAAATAAAAATAAAAAAATAAAAAAAATAAAAAATAAAAAAAAAAAACAATTCTTTCTGTAGCATAAGGAGCCTTCAAGGTCCTTAAGTCCTCCAGATTAGGAACTTTGTATTTTGCTGCCTTCTGAGTTGAGTTCATGGGGTTTGTGGGTGGCCAGGGGCATCGTCCAATATCAAAGAACTTTAATAAAAGGCAGTCTCTTACTGGCAGAGTACTTCTTGACTTCGGGAACAGAACATGAGTGGAAATCTAGAATATTATTCTCATTGTTCAGGACTTCTTGTTGTACAGCCGAAAGATGGGCAGGTGGTGTTTATCTTCTTTCTTCAAGGCCCGGAGTTAAATTTATCGATAAGGGCAGTCCTGATCATTAAGCTGACTCCATTTGCATAAAACAGTAGCATTTGCCTATCTTGTTTTCTTTCTGTAAGTCCTGGCCCTTCACTTCTTTATTAATAAATTGTGTTGTGGTTTTTTGGGGGTGGTGGGGGGATGGGGCAGTTTTGTTTGCATTAAAAAACCTGTCCAGGCAGATGTCCTTTCTCCTCAATGATTTTGTTTGTTTTTTGATTTTTTACTCCACTGGGAGATAATTTTGTTTTTTTGAGACAGGGTCTCACTCTGTCATCTTGGCTGGAGTGCAGTGGTGTGACCTCGGCTGACTGTAATGTCCGTCTTCCAGGCTGAAGGGATCCTCTCACCTCAGCCTCCCAACTAACTGAAACTATAGGCACACGCTGCCATGCCCAGATCATTTTTCTGTATTTTTAGTAGAGTCAGAGTTTTGCCATGTTGCGCAGTCTGGTTTGGAACTCCTGTCCTCCAGTGGCCTGCCCACCTTGGCCTTCCATGAGCAATCATGCCTGGCTCATTAATGATTTTCTTCAAGGGTTTGGGACCCCATCTACTGCCTCTTGGTTGGAGTTATCTTGACATTTTTTTTTTTTTTTTTTGAGATGGAGTTTCGCTGTTGTTACCCAGACTGGAGTGCAATGGCACGATCTAGGCTCACTGCAACCTCCACCTTCTGGGTTCAAGCAATTCTCCTGCCTCAGCCTCCCAAGTAGCTGGGACTACAGGCGTGCGCCACCGTGCCCAGCTAATTTTTGTATTTTTAGTAGAGACAGAGTTTCACCTTGTTGACCAGGATGGTCTCGATCTCTTGACCTCGTGATCCACCTGGCCTCCCAAAGCGCTGGGATTATAGGCATGAGCCACCGCGCCCAGTCTATCTTGACATTTTTTAAACCGAACTTCTCAAATTATCAGTCATGTTTTGCTGGCATCAAATTCTCCAGCTTTAGATCCGTTACCTTCCTTTTGCTTTAAGTTGTCATAAAATAACTTCCCTTTTTCTCAAATCGTGTTAAGAGTCTACAAGTATGCTTTCAGTATAGTGATTTGCACCTGTAAAAAAGCTGCATTTTCAATATGAGATAAAGAAGGTATTTAGCAAAAATTGCATTGTTCTAGTGCCTACTGGCGTAGCTGCAGTGACGGCCCCATGAATTTTCTCTTTGGCAATGGTCCTTACACCAGATTCATTTATCTTGAAACGGCGGGCAGCTGCAGCTGCACACCTCAATCCATGGTATGCATCAAGCAATTGAACATGTTCTTGTAATGTCATGACCTTTTTCTACTTCTTGAGAGCACTTCCAGCATCACTAGTGGCACTTGAGATGGGTCCCGGGTTGTTACTCAGAGTTTATGGTGTTGCACGAAACACAGTGAAAAATGTGCCGTAACACAGATCAGTTTTTGCTGCCATCTGCAGTGTACTAGTGAGATGGACTGTTCACATGGAGATGATTAACATCACAGGGCACGTTAAGCAGATACTTGAGCTCACCACAACAGCAATGGGAGGTGGTATGAAATTGTTACAGTAGTTCAGTATGTACTAGAGTTAGTTTTATGCGATTGTGATTGAATACTGCGTCTTTACGTTTTTACATTTATTTTGACTACGGTTGGCACCATACACAGTCTAAAGGTGATTGTATAAGTTTGGTAAATTTTAACTTGGAATACATTTGTGTATATTTGATGGTAGTAAGTCAAATAGACTAGTATACCAATATCTACGTATATTTTATGCATTCCTGGTATGCCTTTTTCTTAATTAGGGTATGTGGTTCATCTGCGAGTTTTTTAAAATTGTTGCAGATCTTCAAAATATTTTTCAAGATGTTTATTGAAGAAAATTCTTCTAAGGCCGGGCGCGGTGGCTCACACCTGTAATCCCAGCACTTTGGGAGGCCGAGGGGGGTGGATCATGAGGTCAAGAGATCGAGACCATCCTGGTCAACATGGTGAAACCACGTCTCTACTAAAAGTACAAAAAATTAGCTGGGCACGGTGGCGCATGCCTGTAATCCCAGCTACTCAGGAGGCTGAGGCAGGAGAATTGCCTGAACCCGGGAGGCGGAGGTTGCGGTGAGCCGAGATTGCATCATTGCACTCCAGCCTGGGTAACAAGAGCGAAACTCCGTCAAAAAAAAAAAAAAAAAAAAAAAAGAAAGAAAGAAAGAAAAAAGAAAATTCTTCTATAAATGGACCCACACAATCCAAACTCATGTTGTTCTAGAATCAACTGAAGTGAGAAGCAAGGCCTAAGCTGAGCCCACAGGGATGGTGGGCAGCTGGAGAATTGGTTCATTGGTCCTCAGGGCATGGATCCCAGAGCTGTACCACCATAAGCACTCTTCATGGTATCTTCTGTGGGGTCTTTTGGGAGTGCAAGAATCATCATGCAACTCACAGAAGTATTATCTGGAAAATCTCAGAGATCATTTAAGGGGTTACCTTTGTTTTTTGAGTATTTTGAGCTGCAAGTTAAGATGGTTATAGATTTGTTTTGAAATATCCAAATGTCAATATGGAGAGTTTCCTTTGAAGATGTTGGCTGGGGGGCACGTGCATCACTGGAGTCATCTGTTTTAGTGGATGGTGATGCCAGTATTTGGGGGTGAGGTCATTATGAATGGAATAGGGAGTCTTGGGTCATTGAGTTCTCTGGTGTCTTTGTATGCATTTGTTCAGCATGAGTTTATGAGTTGTTGGGGCATATGGGGTTTCGTAGCAGAATATGGGGAACTGTTGGGGTCCAGCATGTCTGCCGGGGGGCTACCCACCTGCGGGAGTCCCTGAGACCACCAACATAGATGTCTTGTTCAACCTGAGGGAGAGAGCGAGTGGAAGTGAAAGAAGAAAGTAAAGTGGAGTCTGGAGGTCTGAATGACTTGCAGTCAAGCAGCAGCTTTATTATTGTGGGTTACAGCTTTTATACCTTTTTTCTTGTTACATTTCCTTTAGCTCAGCAGAAAAGGGGGCAAACAGAAAAGGGAACAGAAACCACGTAAAAATAGTTATCAGGGGCTTGTGATAACAGCTTGCAAAGCAGTTTTAAGGGGGCTTGTGATAATCGCTTACAAAGCAGTCTAAGAGTTCATCTATGTTTTTCAAAGATACACAGTGCAAGCAAACAATGGTACCCTTAAGGTGGCTTGTTAATCATGTTTTCCATCAGGAGGTAGAACAGAGGCTCAGCTCCTGAGAGAATATGGGCAGTGGTCTCTGCCCCTCTCAGGCACCTCAATTGTGGCAAGCCTATTGCTTACACAGAGACTAAAGGGGATATGAAGCAGTCAGCACAATGTCCTCATAAACCGCAGGCCCTTACTCTGCATTCTGTTTTTGCCTCAGTGGCTTAGCCATTTTTACCTCGACTCGACATCCCTCGAGAGTGGGGGGAGAGCAGATAGGTCCAGCAGCCAAGATGGGGCGAGTCATGCGAACTCTCTCAAGCCCTTGGCGTGAACACTACAGGGAGCACCATGGAGTGTCTGGGAAGGGTGTGGGACCCCCATGGACATCTGTAAGCCAGTCTCAGTTTAGGAGGGGAACATTAGGGCCTCAGAATCTAGTGAAAGAAGGCTTTCATTAGGGAAGGTTTTTTGTGATGGGTCTGTGGCACGGTGGTGACTTAGGGAAGAATTTTCAAAGCATGGTTGTGGCACAGAAAGGAATGTGTTGTTTCCAAGCATTAAACAACATATATTTGACTTTCAGATTTGACTTTTAAAGAATTAACTATATTGACTGAGAGAGAAGCCCAGAAGAGGAAGAAAAAAGAAAAGGAGTCAGGGATGGCTCTTACTCAGGTAAAGTGATATTCTCGGTGGATTGTTCTGTCTCTTTCCTTTTTGAAATACAGGACATTGGAGTTGCAAATCTGAGTCTGAAGCATCCTGACTGACACGTTTGCTCACACTCACCGGTGCCTTCTTTCAGACCCTCTTGTCTGTACTTGATTCCTGATCTCACAGTGATCCAGTGACATGAGCTTGGGAAGAGGCTCCACTGGGCATAGTTCTGGGAAGTGCTCACACCCAAACATGTATAGAGAGGAGGTCTGGGTCCTATCATGTCAGTTTTTTGGCAGGAGAGATTGTTTTTTTTTGTTTTTTTGAGACGGAATTTCACTCTTGTTACCCTGGCTGGCGTGCAATGGCGCGATCTCGGCTCACCGCAACCTCTGCCTCCTGGGTTCAGGCAATTCTCCTGCCTCAGCTTCCCTAGTAGCTGGGATTATAGGCGTGCTCAACCATGCCCAGCTAATTTTTTGTATTTTTACTAGAGACGGGGTTTCACCATGTTGACCAGGATGGTCTCGATCTCTTGACCTCGTGATCCACCCATGTGGGCCTCCCAAAGTGCTGGGATTACAGGCGTGAGCCACAGCACCCGGCCGGGCAGGAGAGATTGTTTAGGGGCAACATCTGAATGCACTGTTAGCTCTCAGTAAACCAGGAGTAGAGAAGCTGTATGTGGAAGTCACATGTTAATGCACCTGCTAATGTGCACAAATAACCTCATATATTCTTGAAAGGACGCCTTTAAGCAGAGATCTTTTCTCTTTGACTTTATATGACATTTGAAGCTATAGTGAATGAGTCAGCTCTTTCTAACTCCACAATCTTAATAACTGGAAATGGAATGAAAAACTAGGTACGGACATCAGTGATAGAGGGTGTTTTATTCCATCATTGAATTTAAAATGTGAAATCAGCCTGAACGTCAGATTAAGTTAGCCTTCTCTGCCTATCCACCCACATAGAATGCAGTGTTCCTGCAGCGGCTCTTACCAGCAGCTGTTTTGAAAAACAGTTACAATTTTGCTCGGAGCCAAACTTTTTTGAGAAGATGGAGCCAAATTCTCTCATTCCACCGAGTATTATTAAATATTATATTTCTTTTATTTTAAACAACACATGATACATATATTTGTTTTGTGGTAAAAGTCCAAGCAGAGATGCAATGTAGGCATTAAGAAGGTGATAGAACATGAGGAAGATAGGGAATAACATTTTACTATATGTGATATTTATACTAATTGAGATTTTAGCTGTTCTTGCCACAAAAGCAAAAAAAAAAAGTTAACTGAGATATGGATATGTTAATTTGTTAAACTATAGTGAGTTTTTTACTATCTATGCCTTACTATGTTGTATACTTAAATATACACCCTAAAATCTATAAGCAAACAAGTGAAAAACAGGGCATCAAGATACATTTCAGTTTTATACAAAAAAAATTTATAACCTAAAAAAAGGACATTAAGGCCATATTTTTAAACTTTACAGAATATAAAATAGCTTCTAGAACTCAGTAAAAGAAAATAGAGCATCAAGTGAGAATTATTTTATATTGATTTCCACAAAATAATGAAACATCTTCACAGTCCAAGGCATTGGAAAATGGAAATATAGAGAACTTTTATTTTTTCTAGATCCTCAAAGAGAAGGAACATAGTAGTACTGTCTTTTTTTTTTTTTCCCCCCACCGAGACAGAGTCTCGCTCTGTCACCAGGCACCAGGCTGGAGTGCAGTAGCCTGATCTCAGCTCACGGCAACCTCTGCCTCCCGGGTTAAGCAATTCTCCTGCCTCAGCCTCCCGAGTAGCTGGGACTACAGGTGCACATCACCACACCCAGCTAATTTTTATATTTTAGTAGAGACGGTTTCACCACGTTGGCTAGGATGGTCTTAATCTCTTGACATGATCTGCCTGCCTCGGCCTCCCAAAGTGCTGGGATTACAGGTGTGAGCCACCGCCCCCGGCCAAGTACTTTTTTTTATTTAAAGAGTGGGAAATGTCATGTGTCATTGGTGGGAGAGGGCACCCTTGAACTTGGGGGAGTGGGGAATCTAGCCAGATTCATCAAAATAGGAAATGTACCATCCTAGAAGAAGTGATCACTCTTTGTCCAGAGGAGCCCGGGTCCCTTTTACTGTGACGTCCTCCACCATGCCTCACATTTCATTGAGGAGCCATGATTGTGAGTTCTGTGACAAGGGTCAGCGAGAGGTGTCACGATGCATTTACACGTCATTAGGAGGTTTTAGAAAACAGTTCTTCATTGAATGTTCTGCTGCGATGTTTTATTTTGCAAGTTTTTTAAATGTGCATGTTTTTATGTTAATAAACACGAATCACTTGTTTTGCATCCTCTTTGGAGCAATTTCTAAATGAAGACAAACGGATCTTTTACAATTTTACACTTTTACAAAGAATGTCACTGCGGCTGCCTCCGTGCATGCTGTGTTCACTACAAGCGTCTGAGGCTTCCTTCACAGGCAGTTCAAAGAATGATTGCTTCTTTTAGGATGGTATACCGCAAGAGCAAAAATAAATATTTTTTTAAATATTTTTTTGGAAGGTATGGCTCACAGTGTGATTATAAAATACAATGTTTCTTTAAAATCTCGTGTTTCTTGCTTACATTTTCTTTGCCTGAATCTTTAATTTGAATTTTTGTGTACATCTTTTTATAGATTATATTTGATTGCTTTTAAAGTTTCAGATTATAAAAGTCTTTAATAGGTTCATATGCAGATTGGCAAAGCCCTCCATTTTCTTTCCAAACTTTTGTTCATTTCTTTTTTATGTAACAGTCACATTTTATTAAATTCTAACATATTTTGTGTTTGAATGGCTATGAATTTTTACAGTTACAGGTCTTTAAGTCACCACATCTTCCCATAAGAATTGATTTTGTCAGTTTGTGATCCTATCTTTATTATGTCTTTCAGTAAAGTGTTTGTTTGTTTACAGTTCAGTAATGTTAGGTGTATTTACATATTTACATTAGTTGTTGGACTTTCAGAATGCATATGTTCTTGGTGCTTGATGGTTTCCCCATGAGCCCCTTGGGCGCTCTTTATTTTCTTTATTTTTTATAGTTTTTGTTTTTCTCCCTGTCAGAATCCCCTTTAAGTTCACTGATTCCTTCTTCTGCCTAATTAAGTCTGCTGTTGAACTCATCTAATGAATTTTTCAACTCAGTTACCGTATTTTTAGCTCGAATTTTTTTCTTTCTGTTTTGTTTTCAGGCAGGGTTTCACTCTTGCCCAGGGTGGAGTGCAGTGGCATGATCTTGGCTCTCTGCATCCTCTGCTCCTGGATTCAAATGAACCTCCCACCTCAGCCTCCTGAGTAGCAGAGACTACAGGTGCACACCATCACACCTGCCTAATTTGGTTGGTCTCAGAACTCCTGGGCTTAAGCGGTTCTTCCGCCTTGGCCTCCCGAGTGCTGGAATTACAGGTGTGAGCCATGGTGCCCAGCCTCAGAATTTCTTTTTGATTCTTTAAAGTTTCTATCTCTGTTGATCTTCTTTGCCTGTATAGTTCATACAGTTTTCCTGTTTTCATGAACTTGTCTGTGTGTGTGCTGTCTTTTAACTCATTGAGCATTCTTGTGGCTGCTGTTTCAAATTCTTCGGTAATTCACGTAGAGTCAGTGCTCTGAAATCATGGCTTATGCAGCCACGGGTGAAACCAACTGAAAAAAATGGATGGTTTCATCTGTGTTGAACATGTGTAGTCCTTTTTTTTCTTGTCAGTATTTCCTAAGCAATGCAGTATAACAACTACTTACGTAGCATTTCCATTGTATTAGCGATTATAAGTCATGTAGGGATGGTTTAAATCATATGGGAAGATACAGGTAGGTTGTATGCAAACACTATGCCTTTTTATGTAAAAAAAAGACTTCAGTATCTGTAGGAAAAGATGGCCAGGGGCAAACTATGGTACAGTCAAATAAAAGCAGAGATCAAGCAGTAACAGGAGGCCTATAGTAAAGACCCTCTAACGAGTCTAATGGTGATATAGCAGGAGCGGTGGGGAACAAACCTCTTGAACACAGAACTGAGGAAGAAGTGGCTTTTTATTCAGCTGGGAGTTGTGGGGGTGCTACAGCCTCATTCATCGAGCTCGCCAAGCTGCAGCTTCTCTCCCCTTTTACAGGCTTACAATGCCAAAGGGGAAACTGAGGAGGAACTATGTCATTGTCCATTTGCTGGAGTCTGACCTTACAATCTTTTGGCTTTATTGATTTGCTAAACCATATGCACCATGAGCGGGAACCAGCAAGGGAGGGGGGCTTACAGAGACAAGACAAAAGCAACAAGCTGTTTGTTAGCAGAGTTGTTTCCAGGAGGGAGCCTGGTCCGTGGAGATGTGGGGGCGTGAACCAGTGCCGGGCTCCAGCCGGCAGAGATAACATTCATTTGCAGCTCTTTTTAGGTTAACAGATAGCAGAGATGCTGGGAACTAAAGAGGGAGTCATTTTCCCAGCTCTTTGGTATTTAATTTTTTTTTTCCTTCTTCATCCTCCTTCCCATCTGTAAGTGGGGCAGAAGAGGTGAAATTGAAGGAGGTGAGGGGTCTCCCCTCTCACCAAGACCCCACAACTGTAGACTCAGCAATATGTGATCTGAGCTTGGAAGAGCTGTAGGCACTTTACAACAGTGCATAAGAACTTCCACGTGAGATGATCCCTACAAAACTACTGGGGCAGGAATTCACAAGACGCTGGGGACCCAACCTCTTCTCCAGAATGTCTAGAAGGTGGGACATGGAGTCAAAGGAGATTATTGTCAAGCCTTATTATTTAATGTGTGTGCCCTATTGGGTTTCAGACTTACATGGGAACAGGTACCTCTTCCTTCCGGTTTCTCCCTTTTGGAATCAAAATATCTAACCTGTGTCTGCCCTACTATTGTATTTTGGAAGCACTTGACTCCACTGATTTCACAGGTTCACAGCTGGAGAGGAGTTTGCCTCCAGATGAAACACAGCTTTGAGTCTCACCCATATCTGGTTTTGATTATAGTTAGATGCAGCTCTGGACTATAGACTTTTGAATTGGTAGTAGAAAACGTTAAGGCTTTGGGAGTCATTGGGATGGAATGTATTTTGTATGTGAGAAGTACATGAATTTTGGCAGGCAGGGGTAGAATTTCATGGTCTGAGTATTTTTCTCTCCTCTACAATTTATGTTCAGACTTAATCCCCAATGCCCAATCTCCAAGAATTATGAGGTGTGGATCATGAGCTCAGGAAGAGGCTGGATCATGAGGGGTCTGCCTTTGTCAGTGGGATATGGTGTTCTTTTCACTAAGATATCAAAAGACTTATTCTAGGGAGTTCATTGCTTTCCACCCCTTCTTTTCGGCATATGGGGACACAGCGTTCCTCATCTCCAAAGGGCACAGCAACAAGACACCATCTTGGAAGCAGGGAATATCCCTCAGCAGACATCAGTCCTGCTGGCACCTTGATCTTGGATTTCTCAGCCAGCGGAATCATGAGAAATACATTTCTGTTCATAAATTAGTCTGCCTTATTTTGTTATAGCTGCACAGAAAGACTAGGACATACCCTAACTGTTATGTAACTGTTGGATTCTGTTGATTCAGCTCTAATTTTCAGACATCTAGGTTCAGGTGCTTGCTCTGCTGGTTGCAGGTTGTTGACCTAGGCGAGTTTCTTAGTGTGTCTGTGACATAATTGTCTTCTAGTAAAATGGGAAGAAATCTTTCTGTCATTGGTTATTATGTCGTCATTTGAATTAGAACATGTAAAGCATTTGGAGTAATGCCCAGCACGTGAGAAATGTTCCAAAACTTTAGACGTTGCTGTTGCTCTTGTCATCACAGTTCTTAGTTTCTGACCTTTCTTTAGAGCCATTAAGAGCATTGTTGGCCGGGCGCGGTGGCTCAAGCCTGTAATCCCAGCACTTTGGGAGGACTAGGCGGGTGGATTACGAGGTCAAGAGATCAAGACCATCCTGGTCAATATGGTGAAACCCCGTCTCTACTAAAAATACAAAAATTAGCTGGGCCTGGTGGTGCGTGCCTGTAATCCCAGCTACTCAGGAGGCTGAGGCAGGAGAATTGCCTGAGCCCAGGAGGCAGAGATTGCGGTGAGCTGAGATCGCGCCATTGCACTCCAGCCTGGGTAACAAGAGCGAAACTCCGTCTCAAAAAAAAAAAAAAGAGCATTGTCATCTCTGAAGACACCACTTGTATTCTAGCTCATCCAGACACCTCACTTGGTGTATCAAATATAGTATCTAATGCTTGCATAGGGATAACCATGTGTTTCTTACTTTGTCCACAAAAATGAGAAATGTGCACTGATTTAGAGAAAATTCTAATCTCCCATTGAATTTTATAAAAACTAAAATTAGGGACATATAATTATCTCACAGTTGCTTTTCATGAATATGTCAAAACACATACTTCAATCAAATTGATGTGACCTTGTCTTCTCATTTTATGTAAAGATAAGAGCTCACTCATTGTCCATCATTGAAATCTGTTTTTCATTTCAGGGATCTTTGACATTCAAGGATGTGGCCATAGAGTTCTCTCAGGAGGAGTGGAAATGCCTGGACCCTGTTCAGAAAGCTTTGTACAGGGACGTGATGTTGGAGAACTACAGGAACCTGGGATTCCTGGGTGAGGATAATTTTCCTCTCAGAAGTTAGGATCTTTTCTTGTACATTTTTGTACTTCCTTATTATAGGAGGTTCTGCATTATTTGACAGAGATTGAAGCCTTATTTATTCACAAATCAAAAGCTTCATAATGCTGTATCTGGCCTTTAACTGTCCAGTTTCTATGGATATTCTGCTTCCTTCTTTGTACCTAAGTGGTGGTTCCAGGACTGATGTACATAGAAAACCTTATAGCAGAGTTAATACAGCAAATTCCCTGTTCCTGTTTTCTATCCCTGTGCTTTTTTTTTTTTTTTTTTTTTGAGACACAGTCTCAGTCTGTCACCCAGGCTGGAGTGCGGTGGTGTGATCTCAGCACACTGCAACCTTAGCTTCTTGGGATCAAGCCATCCTCTTACCTCAGCCTCCCAAGTAGCTGGGACTATGGGTGTGCACCACCATGCCCAAGTAGAGACAGGGTTTCACTATGTTGCCCAGGCTCATCTTGAACTCCTGGGCTCAAGTAGTCCTCCCACCTTGGCCTCCCAAAGTGCTGAGATTACAGGTATGAGCTCATATGCCTGGCCCATCCCTGTGTTTTTGATTCGTTATTTCTTGGGAGAGAGCTAGATGTCTGCATCTTGTAGTGTTCCTTAAGCATTCAGAGGGAGTCAATCGATGGATGAGTTCGTGAAACATTTTGTAGATTCAACTGCAGTGTTTTCTCTTCAACCTAAACGTTAGGCTGGATTCTGGAAAAACCATGGGACATCTTCTTTCTTTTTTTATAAGCAGGACTCTGTCTTCCTGACCTGGATATTATCTCCATGTTGGAGCAGGGAAAAGAGCCCTGGACTGTCGTGAGCCAAGTGAAAATAACAAGGAACCCTAATTGCGGGGAATGCATGAAAGGTGTGATCACAGGTAAGAGCTCAGATGGGCGCGATGGAAGCAGCACCATGAAATTGTTTGTGTAAAACTGCAAGTGGGAGAGTTCTGTAAGGAAACAGATTTGATTTTCTGTGAGCTCTGAAAATGTTCTTCTTTCCTGTTATCACTTTGCTCCCCAGACATGTAAGTTGACCCTTTCACTCTCCAGTGGTGCTGCTGCTCAGACAGCAAAGGACAAGACCATTACGATGGATCACAGTGTCATCTGTCTTCTGTGACCTCTGATGCTTTGACTCTGTGGCATGGGAAGGACCTTTTCAAAGGAGTCTCTTTCCTGTGTGGCCTCTCCTCCTGTTCTTGATTCCATCTGATGCTCAGTTCTCTGATTCATGTACATTAGTGCTGAGGGCTTCATAGTCCTGATACCTGGAGCTTTTCTGGTTCCACCCCATTTCCTATACATGAAAGTGCTGGTCCAGAGACGGGGAAACGTTGGTTACCCTTTCTTTGAAGCTGGGATCCTGAAACTGCATGGGACTGTCTTCAGCTCTGTCTGCCTGTTCAGGTCCCTCAGCCATTGGTTCAGTTCTTTGAACAATATTCTTGGGTTTGTGACAGGGGAGTCAGTTGGGTCTCCTGAGATTGTTACATAGAAAAACTGTAAAGACAGGTCACACAAAGGTCCTCTCTTTATTCTTAATCCTACACAGGGAGCGTATCTCTGTCTTCAGACTCAAGCTGGGATCTGTGGACAGAGCAGAGTATCATTTTGAGATCCCTCCTAATACAACTCCTGTGTTTTTCTCTGTCTTATTTATGCCTTGGCTCTTCCTAATTTTATATTCTCTTTTATGTTTGTGTGAATTTTTGCCTCTGAGACTTGGTTTGGGTAAACAGATTTCTAGGGTCTGACATTTTATCCTTTTTTCTGCTATGATAACCCATCTTGGGGTTATGAATATCCTGTGGACTATCTCCTGGAGTGGGCTGACTGGGTAAGAGAAAATTCTTGAAGGAGAACACTTTGAGTGATAAGTTTTAACGTCATCTTGCTATGTACAGTAGGGACTGTTAAAGCCAGAGTTGAATGGTCAGCATGTATCGTGATACTCAGAGAGCGTCGCAAGAGCCTGGTTTTTGAGAACTGTCACAAAAGTGTCTCTCAAGGGTGCTGTGGCAGTGTTGGTCTCATATACTAATGGTCCTCATTTTTGAGGTAGCGGTGAATGGTGTAGGAATTTCTCCCAGGGAGAGAACACTGTCCAAGTTCACAGCTTCATGTCTGCAGGGCGGTTGCCTGAACCACTGCTCACGCCACACTTTTCTTCCCCAGTATTTCTGTTTACAGTGAGTATGACTTTGATCTTATTGAGGAAGCTAATGAAGTTCAATGAGGCTTATATTTTTTAAGTCCACAAAATTTGTTTTAAGCAAACATTGCTTTCATCTTGTACGTTTTCATGTATAAGTGTACTTTGTTTTTATTTATTTAATGATCAGTTCCATATGTTTGAGGATACTCAGTTTTCTGTGGTTTATGTTTCTATGTGCGGTAGTGTTATGTTGGGGGGTGCATAGTATTTTATGTATTTCACTAGATTTCCTTCTTTAGTACAGATGGTATAGCGCAACAGCAGTTTCCCTAAAACTTACACAAACAACATGATATTGTGTTAAGACCGTTTCAGTTCATTCCTTTTGCTTCTGTTTCACCTGACTTAGTTCCTGTTAAACTATTACAGTTTTAAATTGGAAAGTTTTAATATCTCCAACATCATTTTTTAATTGTTACTATCTCCATTGTGGAAATACCATCGAACAGATTGATCATTCTTTGTTATATAAGATATACTACTTTTCTGTGGTACATTTGAGTTTCCTAAATGTAACTTGCTGGGTTCTGTTTAAATTGCACCATTTTTTCCTTTCTTGGAACAATTGCTCTATTATAATAACTATTGGCCTGTCTACATTCATGTCCATCATGTTATACTAAATCATTATTTAAAATATGTTTTACAGTTAGCCCATTTCTTGCACTCGAAGGATTTCTCTACTCTTTATAAAACCGTTACGTGTTTTCATGATGGTCAAGCAATGAGGAATAAATTCTCTTAAAAAACTTGTATTGGGGCCAGGCGCCGTGGCTCACGCGTAATCCCAGCACTTTGGGAGGCCGAGGCGGGTGGATCACGAGGTCAAGAGAGCAAGACCATCCTGGTCAACATGGTGAAACCCTGTCTCTACTAAAAATACAAAAATTAGCTGGGCATGGTGGCGCGTGCCTGTAATCCCAGCTACTCAGGAGGCTGAGGCAGGAGAATTGCCAGAACCCAGGAGGTGGAGGTTGCAGTGAGCCGAGATCGTGCCATTGCACTCCAGCCTGGGTAACAAGAGTGAAACTCCGTTTTAAAGAAAAACTTGTATTGGGCCAGGAGTGGTGACTCATGCCTGTAATCCCAGCACTTTGGGAGGCTGAGATGGGCAGATCATTTTGAAGTCTGAGGTCAGGAGTTTGAGACCAGCCTGACCAACATGGTGAATCCCTGTTTCTACTAAAAATACAAAAAAAATTAGCCTGGTGTGGTGGCACATGCATGTAATCTCAGCTACTTGGGAGGTTGAGGCAAGAGAATTGCTTGAACCCAGGAGGCCAAGGTTGCAGTGAGCCAAGATTGCGCCATGGTACTTCAGCCTAGGCAACAGAACAGGACTCTGTCTCTTAAAAAAAAGAAAAAAAATTGTTTATTTTGTCCAGAAAAGTTTTTGCTAGACTTTCTTCTAGGATTTTTGTAGCTTGAGGTCTTACCTGTAAGTCTTTATTCATCTTGAATTAATCTTTGTATATGATGAGAGACAGGACTCCAGTCTCATTCTTCTGTATATGGCTAGTCAGTTTTTCTGGCACCTTTTATTGAATAGAATGTCTTTTCCCAATTGTTTTTGTAGTTCCTTATATTTCTTCTGTCTGATTGTCCTATTTTTAAGTAAAGATGGGCCATTGAATTCTCTTATTATTCCTGTGGAAGTATTCCGCTTTTTAGTTATGTTAATTTTGCTTTGCATTTTAAGGATCTCTAATATTAGGCACATATTATATGCGCCTAGTGAATTACCCCTTTAATCATTATATAATGCCCTTCTTTGTCTCTTGTACCAGTTTTGATATAAAGTCTCTTTCAACTGATACCATCTTAGCCTCCATTCTGTTACCATTTATAGGTGATATCTTTTTTCATCCCTTCAGTTCAGCCTATGTGTGTCCTTTGAATTAAAATGAGTCTTTTCTGGATAGCGTATAGCTGAAGCAAGTTTTAAAAATTCACTTTGGGAGGCCGAGGCAGGTGGATCACGAGGTCAAGAGATCGAGACCATCCTGGTCAACATGGTGAAACCCCGTCTCTACTAAAAATACAAAAAATTAGCTGGGCATGGTGATGCGTGCCTGTAATCCCAGCTACTCGGGAGGCTGAGGCAGGAGAATTGCCTGAACCCAGGAGGCGGAGGTTGCAGTGAGCTGAGATCCCGCCATTGCACTCCAGCCTGGGTAACAAGAGCGAAACTCTGTCTCAAAAAAAAAAAAATTCACTCAGTCAGTCTCTGTCTTCTGATTATGGAGTATAAACCACTTACATTTGATATAATTACTGATAGAAAAGGACTTACCATTTTGTTAAGTGTTTTCTGTATCTCTTTTAGATTTTTGTTGTTCTTTCTCTTACTGCCTTTGTTTTTATTAGTTGATTTTTTTTTTTTTCCCAAAGTAGTTTTACTTCCACTGTGTGTGTCTTCTATACATTCTTTGTGGTTACCGTTGCAATTACAGAAAACACGTTAGCTTTATAACATCCTATTTTAAACTAATAACAGCTTAACTTCAGTTACATACAAAAATGACTTTTTCATAGATCTGCTTCCGTGTTGTGTTTTGACATCCCAGATTACGTTCATCGTATATATATGCTGTGTCTCTATTAACGTATATTTAAGCCTTGACAAGAGTCTCCTGCTTTCTTTGTTTTCTCAAACAGATCTTCACCTACTGTGCTAGGGATCCTCATTCTGCATCACATATCTCCTTAACATTTTTGTACTGTCAGTAAGGTTTTAAGGTATCTTTATGTGTGTATACAAAATGAATTCATCCATCTCCTCTTCATGGCTGTTTTCTGTTTTTTCTTCAGGATTGAAATATAAGGCCGGGTGCGGTGGCTCAAGCCTGTAATCCCAGCACTTTGGGAGGCCGAGGCGGGTGGATCACGAGGTCAAGAGATCGAGACCATCCTGGTCAACATGGTGAAACCCCGTCTCTACTAAAAACACAAAACATTAGCTGGGCATGGTGGCGCGTGCCTGTAATCCCAGCTACTCAGGAGGCTGAGGCAGGAGAATTGTCTGAACCCAGGAGGCGGAGGTTGCGGTGAGCCGAGATCGCGCCATTGCACTCCAGCCTGGGTAACGAGAGTGAAATCTCAAAAAATAATAATAATAATAATAGTAAAAGCGGAAGCTTTTGCATGTCTCCTCTAATTGCATTCCCGAAGTTCTGTGCACCATCCTGACCTAATTGCCCCCCAAAGACCACACTACCGAATACCATGTGATTGAGAATTGGGTACTTAAGGCAGGAATTGTGGTAGACATAAGTCTTTATATTGGAGCCGTCTACATTGTATCTGTAAGTTTTCATTTTGCAGTTCGTTCCAAACGGTGTTGTCTTTTATCTCAGTTCATACGTTTTCCAAGTACAATCTCTGTATCATATATATTTTGTGGCCAGTGAACTAGATAATTAAAGACAATGAATAGGACTGGGCACAGTGGCTCACACCTGTAATCCCAACACTTTGGGAGGCAGAGGTGGGCAGATCGCTTGAGATCAGGAGTTCCAGACCAGCCTGGGCAACATAGCAAAACCTCGTCTTTACCAAAACTGCAAAAAAAAAAAATAGCCGGGCATGATGGTGCACATCTGTGGTCCCAGCTCTCAGGAGGCTGAGGTAGGGGATCACTTGAGCCTGTGTGTTGGCAGCTGCAGTGAGGTGAGATTATACCACTGCACTCTTCAGCCTGGATGACAGAGTGAGACTCCATCTCAAAAAATAGCAAAAAAATAGACAGTGAATACCTAGGGAGTTGCTCTATTGTTGGCTCCATAATTGTAGGCCTGAAATCATAACTGGGAATTCTGATTTCTTTTCCCAAGTTTTATTCTTTTTTTTTTTTTTTTTTGACAGTCTCTCTCTGTTGCCCAGGCTGAAGTGCACTGTCATGATCTCGGCTCACTGCAACCTCACCATCCTGGGTTTATGTGATTCTCATACTTCAGCCTCCTGAATAGTTGGGATTACAGGTGTGCACCATCACACCTGGCTAATTTTTTATATTTTTAGTAGAGATGAGGTTTCTCCTTATTGGCTTGGATAGTCTCAAACTCTTGGCCTCAAATGATCTGTCCACCTTGGCCTCTCAAAATGCTGGAATTACAGGTCTGAGCCACCAATTTTTATTCTTTATTATGTTATATATTTACCTTTCTCTCATTCGAAGTGCTAACCATTTCTGACACTGCTTAGCTTCTGAGATCAGACAAGATCAGATGCATTCACAGTGGTATGGCCATAGACAAATTTACCTTTCTTTTATCTTTCAAACTCAGTGATCTCAACATATTTTCCAGTTACCATATGCTGCCTCTGGAATGTAAGTTCTTGCTTATTATTAATGGAGAATTGTTTAGAATTTCATACTAAATATTTATATTTTGTGGTTGTTCATTATTTACCTGCTGGTTTTATCACAGGTTATTAGAATGTTTTATTTGTTAATTTATATTGTGATTATTAATTAGTTGAACTTGTGAGTATTTACCATTACAGCATATCTTGCTGTGATTTGGCATTTATTTGTATGATATAAATACATGTAACTTTTTTACTCTTCTGAGAGAGCCATAAGTTTACTGCCAATTGGTGTGTCATTTAGGGTCAGTGGTTGTAAAATACTTGTTTTGGTGCTCAAATGTTTGCACAACATGAATCTTTTGGTCGTACGATGTTCGAAACTAGGCTTTCCTAAAACTGGTATGAATTACATGTAGTTACCCTTTCTTAACTATAGAATTCTATTCATTTTGTGTTTCTAAAAATAGAAGATGATGGTGGAAAAGTTTCAACTTGCTAGTATAAACATTATGTTTAGTGTAGTGTGTTTTCGGTATAAAATGTTTACCGAGTAGTTATTTTAAAACCCCATGTGCATTACATTTTGCAGGTATCTCTCCTAAATGTGTGATCAAGGAATTACCACCAATACACAACAGTAACACAAGAGAAACATTCCAAATGGTCATGTTGGAAGGACATGAAAGCGGTGACATTGAAAATTTTTACTTCAGGGAAATCCAGAAAAATCTACAGGACCTTGACTTTCAACGGAAAGATGGTGAAGTAAATTATAAAGAAGTGCCAATGACCAGTAAAAACAACCTTACTGGTAAAAGACTTCAGCATAGTCAAGGGGATGTAGAAAACAAGCGTATGGAAAATCAGCTTCTATTAAGCTTTCAGTCACATCTGGCTGAAGTGCAGAACTTTCAGACTGCAGGGAACATGTATGACTCTGATCAAATGGAGAGGACAGTTAATAATGGTTTCTTAGTGTCACCACTTCAAAGGATTTTTCCTAGTGTCCAAACCAACATTTCTAGAAAATATGGGAATGATTTTTTGCAACTTTCATTACCTGCACAAGACGAGAAAACACATATTAGGGGAAAACCTTGCATAGGTAATGAGTGTGGCAAAGCCTTTAGAGTGTCTTCAAGTCTTATTAATCATCAGATTACTACAGAGAAATCTTCCAGATGCAGTGAGTCTGGCAAAGGCTTTAATCGGGGCTCACTACTAACTGTACATCAGGTAGTCCATTCAGAAGGGAAACCGTATCAATGTGATGTGTGTGGCAAGATCTTCAGACAAAATTCAGATCTTGTAAATCACCGGAGAAGTCACACCGGAGACAAACCCTACATATGTAATCAATGTGGCAAGTCCTTTAGTAAAAGTTCCCACCTTGCAGTTCATCAGAGAATTCATACAGGAGAGAAACCTTATAAATGTAATCAATGTGGGAAGTGCTTTAGTCAAAGTTCCTCTCTTGCAACTCATCAGACAGTTCATAGTGGAGACAAACCCTACAAATGTAATGAGTGTGGCAAAACCTTTAAACGGAACTCAAGCCTCACTACACATCATGTAATCCATGCAGAAAAGAAACCATATACATGTGACGTATGTGGCAAGGTCTTTTATCAAAGTTCACAACTTGCGAGGCACCAGATAATTCATACTGGAGAGACCCCTTACAAATGCAATGAATGTGGCAAGGTCTTCTTTCAACGTTCGCGTCTTGCCGGGCATCGGAGAGTTCATACCGGAGAGAAACCTTACAAATGCGATGAGTGTGGCAAGGTCTTCAGTCAGCATTCACATCTTGCAGTGCATCAAAGAATTCATACTGGAGAGAAACCTTACAAATGTAATGAATGTGGCAAAGCCTTTAATTGGGGCTCATTACTCACTATACATCAGAGAATCCATACAGGAGAGAAACCTTACAAATGTAATGTGTGTGGCAAGGTCTTTAATTATGGTGGATACCTTTCAGTTCATATGAGATGTCATACTGGAGAGAAACCTCTCCGTTGTAATAAATGTGGCATGGTCTTCACTTACTATTCATGCCTAGCACGTCATCAGAGAATGCACACTGGAGAGAAACCTTACAAATGTAATGTGTGTGGCAAGGTCTTCATTGACAGTGGAAACCTTTCAATTCATAGGCGAAGTCATACTGGAGAGAAGCCCTTCCAGTGTAATGAGTGTGGCAAGGTCTTCAGTTACTACTCATGCCTAGCACGTCATCGGAAAATTCATTCTGGAGAGAAACCTTACAAATGTAATGATTGTGGCAAAGCCTATACTCAGCGTTCAAGCCTCACTAAACATCTGGTAATTCATACTGGAGAGAAACCTTACCATTGTAATGAGTTTGGTGAGGCTTTTATCCAAAGCTCAAAACTTGCACGATACCACAGAAATCCTGCTGGGGAGAAACCACACAGATGTGGTGAATGTGGCAGAAGTTTCAGTCATAAAACAAGTCTGGTATACCATCAGAGAAGACATACCGGAGAGATGCCGTACAAATGTGTTGAATGCGGGAAAGTCTTTAATTCCACTACCACCCTGGCGAGGCATCGGAGAATTCACACTGGAGAGAAACCTTACAAATGTAATGAATGTGGCAAAGTCTTCCGTTATCGCTCAGGCCTAGCACGCCATTGGAGTATTCACACTGGAGAGAAACCTTACAAATGCGATGAGTGTGGCAAAGCCTTTAGAGTGCGCTCAATTCTGCTTAATCATCAGATGATGCATACTGGAGAGAAGCCTTATAAATGTAACGAATGTGGTAAAGCTTTTATCGAAAGGTCAAACTTGGTGTACCATCAGAGGAATCACACTGGAGAGAAGCCATACAAATGTATTGAATGTGGCAAGGCCTTTGGGCGGCGGTCTTGCCTCACTAAACACCAACGACTTCATTCTGGTGACAAACCTTATAAATGTAATGAGTGTAGCAAATCTTACATTAGTCGCTCAGGCCTCACTAAACATCAGATAAAACATACTGGAGAGAACCTGACAACTGAACTGAATGTGGAAAGACCTTTAGACATTGCCCTAACTTCTGGGATCACCAAATAATTTATACTTACTGATAAAGCTTGTATATTTGGCCCTTCCCTCTGAAATCCCTACCCTTAATCTCCAGTATTGGAGGAGCCTGGTGGGAGGTGCCTGGCTCATGGGGTGGGTTTCTCCAGAAGGGTTTGGTGCCATCCCCTTAGAGCTGTCCTTGTGATAGTGAGTTCTCATGAGGTCTGGATGTTGAAAAGTGGCCAGGCGCCATGGCTCATGCCTGTAATCCCAGCACTTTAGGAGGCCAAGGTGGGTGGATCACTTGAGGTCAGGAGTTCGAGAGAGAGCAGCCTGGCCAACATTGTGAAATCCTTATCTCTGCCAAAAATTACACAAAATTAGCAGGACTTTGTGGCGGGCACTTGTAGTACCAGCTACTCGAGAGGCTGAGTCAGGAGAATCACCTGAACCCTCAAGGCTGCAGGTTGCAGTGAGCCGAGATTGCGCCAGTGCACTCCAGCCTGGGTGACAGAGTGAGACTTTGCTTTACACACACACACACAAGAATGGCACCTTCCTTGTTTGTTCCGCTTCTGGCCATGTGACATGCCCACTCCCCCTTCACCTTCCACCATCATTTTAACCTTCCTGAGGCTTCCCCAGAGAGTAAGCAGATGCCAGCACCATGTTTCTGTAAAGCCTGCAAAATTGTGAGCCAATTAAACCTCTTTATACATTACCCAGCCTCAGGTATTTCTTTCTAGCAATGCAATCATGAGTTGACACATTTACACGTGCAGTGAATATAGCTAAGTTTTAAGCAACTGTTCATGAGGCATAAGAATATAAATCCTGGAGGGACATCACAGAAGTGTAATGTGTGTGGTAAGAATAAGGTCAAAACTTGCGAATCTCTGAGTAACTTGAAGTGCAGATATGCTTTACAAATGAAACGAGTGGCAAAAGCTGTACCAGAGTTCAGTCACTACTTGACATTAGAGTTTATACTGGAAAGAAATCCTTTAAATGTATGTGCTAGAGGCTTCCCCAGGCATCTGAACTCACTAGACATCAGAATATCCATCTTTGACAGGAACCACATGAATGGAATGTGTGTGCTGAGGCTTCTTACCTGAACATCAAAACAAACATCAGTATTCATACAGGACCACAGCCTTACAAATGTAACAAATGTGGTAAGCCTTTTTAAAAAACATCAAATGGCCACGTGTGGTGGCTTACACCTGAGCACTTTGGGAGGCCCAGGCGGGTGGATCACCAGAGTTGAGGAGTTTGAGACCAGCCTGGCCAACATGGCGAGACCCCATCTCTACTAAAAAGACAAAAATTAGCCAGACATTCCAGCTACTTGGGAGGCTGAGGCAGGAGAATTGCTTGAACCCAGGAGGTGGAGGTTGCAGTGAGCTCAGACTGTGCTGTTGTACTCCACCTGGGTGACAAGATCAAGACTGCCTCAAAAAAATGAAAAATCAAATGTTCATGTTTTTGGAATTTGAGATAATTTATCTCAAATATAAAGAGAGAAAAGCCAAATGAGTGTGCTTAACATGGAAGGACATTTAATCAGTAGTGTGTCTTCAGGCTTTACCAAATCACTCATACTGGAGAGAAACCTTGGAAACGTAATCAATATGATGAAATTTTAAGCCATTTCTCAACAGATTCCATATTAGGTAAATCATGCTCCAAATTCTAAGTCTGCTTCTCCATCCAGGATGGACGTGGAGTGGTAAATACTGTAACTACAAGACAGAATGTGTTAAAACCCCCGGTTGTACGTCCATCAAAGGAGCAGGAGCATGTGTGGAAATGGCCAATTCAGTTTATATAACAATTATATTTACTTTGACGTTTCTTTTTCTTTTTTTTTTTGAGACGGAGTTTCGCTCTTGTTATCCAGGCTGGAGTGCAATGGCACGATCTCGGCTCACCGCAACCTCTGCCTCCTGGGTTCAAGCAATTCACCTGCCTCAGCCTCCCGAGTAGCTGGGACTACAGGCGCGCACCACCATGCTCAGCTAATTTTTTGTATTTTTAGTAGAGACGGGGTTTCACCATGTTGACCAGGATGGTCTCGATCTCTTGACCTCGTGATCCACCCGCCTCGGCCTCCCAAAGTGCTGGGATTACAGGCGTGAGCTTTGGCGTTTGCCCGGCTACTTTGACGTTTCTTAAAAAGGCTGCTTGACTATTTGTGACCTTCATCCTAAAGTATGAAGTCTGTTGCCTTTCCTGCACATCTTTCATTATGGTCTCTGGGAATAAATCAGTAAGATGAGGGGGCCTACTTCATTAGGTGTGGCTTCATATCCGTGTTTTCTGGAAGATCAAGGCCACTGTACTGTGTGAGTTAAGCTGCATGGGGTATGGTGGAGAACAATGTAAATTTACAATGTAAGTCACTGAGCTTGTGTTCAGTCAGGGTGTCCTTTGACAAATAGACTGTTACTTTGGGATATGGGAAACAGGTGCCTGATAACTGACCGAGAAACAGTAGGAAGGACATTGATAGATTCAGATTCAGGATTTTCATGGAAGGTGAGTGATAGGTTGCTAGAGACGATTGTATGAGAGAAACAAGCAGGATCATGGTGGTCGTCTCTTGAATGATAGCTGTTATATGTCAAGGATTAATCAGAATGTAATCTTTTTGGAAATAGAAGAGAGCAGTTATCAGGAGAGTTTAATCAAAAGAACCAGAATAGCATGTTCATAAGTGGGATTCACAGTTAACTGTTTATATTTTACTGCTGTTATATTCAGAATGTATCAGAAGTCTCATGTTTTAATTAATAAAATACTATCATTTTTGTTCATAACTCAGTCATGTTCCTTTTGCCAAAGCAGTTTCATTCCACCTTAGTAAGGAACTAGCAGACACTGCACCATTATGCTTTCATGGTTGAAATAATGTGTAACAGTTTTGTTTTGTTTTTACGGTAGAATCAACAACAGATTTTTGCAAATACAGGAGTCCCCCTTACCCATGGGATACCTTCCAAGACTCCCCTGGTGGATGCCTGAAACTCTAGAGTACTGAAGCATGTATATACAGTTCCAGTAAAGTTTTGCCTTGTGACAGCGAAGCTAGCACTAATCTCTTTATTCAGCCTTTCATATGCAGATTTTTTTTGTTTTGATCACGTCAAAGGAGATTTCAATGCTGTCGTGCAGATTTCTTACGATAAATCTCAGTGGCTTCAGCATAGGATTTTCTTATACAGCAAGAACTTCCAGCTAAAGGAGGTACTTACAGCTTTCTTGCTTTTTCTTCTTTTTCTTTCCCCTCTCTTCCTTACTTCCTTTCCTCCCTCTCCTCCCCTCTCTCTTTTCTATTCTTTTTTTAAGGGGGTTTTGCCATGTCACCCAGGCTGGGGTGCAGTGGTTATCCACAGGTGAGATCTCTGTACTACAGCCTCAGTAAGCAGCCTTCCTGCCTCAGCCTCCTGAGTAATTAGGATTACAGATGTGCAGCACCATGCCTAGCTAATTGATTTTTAAGTTTACATTAAAGATGGGGGTTTGCCATGTTACCCAAGCTGGGCTCAAACTCTTGGCCTCAATAAATCCTTCTACCTCAGACTCCTAAGTAGCTGAGACTACAGTTGCATGCCATTGTGCGTGGCTTACACCTTTTCTGTCACATCCAAGTTGCAAGCATCACTACTTTTGTGCTTTGGGACCATAAAGTAAAATGAGTTACTTGAATACAAGCACTGCAATACTGTTAATCGGCTGAGGTGACTAACAGATGGGTAGCGTATTTAGTGTGTATGCACTATATAAAGGGATGATTTATTTCCTGGGTGGAACAATGAGGTTTTATCACATTTATGAGAACAGTGCACAATTTAAAACACGAATTATTTATTTATTGAGGCGGAGTTTCACTCTTGTTACCCAGGCTGGAGTGCAATGGTGCGATCTCGGCTCACCACAACTTCCGCCTCCTGGGTTCAAGCAATTCTCCCGCCTCAGCCTCCTGAGTAGCTGGCATTACAGGCACGTGACACCATGCCCAGCTAATTTTTTGTATTTTTAGTAGAGACGGGGTTTCACCTTGTTGACCAGGATGGTCTCGATCTGTTGACCTCGTGATCCACCCGCCTCAGCCTCCCGAAGTGCTGGGATTACAGGCTTGAGCCACCGTGCCCAGCCAAACATGAATTATTTATTATGGTAATATACCATTTAATGTTTTTGGACCACAGCTGCCGTGTGTAATTGAAACCATGGAAAGTGAAACGGTAGATAAGGCGGGATGACTGTACCAGTGTGTTGGTGGAGGGGGAGCCAGCTGGTTCCTGTGCTGTAAGGTTGTGATTCTGAAATAGCAGCTTTGCAAAAAAGAAAAAAACTGCAGTTTATCAACTCACCAGTATTCACAACGACAGTGCACGCTTGGTGAGCTCAGAATATTTCTGAAAACCTTTGTTCCCATTGCCAATTCCTGGAAACAATATGGGTTTCTAAAGATCATCACCACAAATACATTCTGAAGTGTTTTCTAATTCAATTTTCAATTTTGATTATTTTTTATTTCTAATTATATTTTCTAATTCAATTGTTTCTAAAATATATTTTTAGAGCAATTTTAGGTTCCCAGCAAAATTTAGTAGTACAGAGATTTTCTGTATAGCTCCTTCTCCGTTATCAACATTCCCCACCAAAGTGGGAGTTACATTATCGCCCAACATCCATAGTTTGTATTTAGTTCACAAATGTTCATTGTGTGGATTTAGACAAGTATTATACATTGGCATGTACCCACCATCACAGTAACATAAGGAGGACTTTCACTACCCTAAAAATCCTCTGTGCTCCATCTACATTTGTATTCTTTTCACTTCTGTCACTTGTTGCTTCACGTTTTGTAGCTGGTTTTAAGTGCATACAAACAAGATTCTCAAACCATCCCTGTAAATTGACATTTTTATAATGTAAACTCCCTGTCGCTCAGGCTGGAGTACATACACTATGATAAAAAGAGTGCATACAGTATGTTTCTACAAATCTACAGTGACAGGGCAGCTCGACGACTGCCCAGAGTGCGTGTTTCGTAGTCGCAGCAGGGTAAAAGGCCTAATTGGGATGAGGCTGGAAAGACGGTCACCAGGTCGACTTTTCCAGCTCATTTTGTGATTGCTGCATCCCTCATACCACCTCACGTTCCCAGAGCTGCTCGTTCTGAAGACATTTCCATGGGCCAGTTCCACCGCAAACTTCCCAGAAAGCGTTAGTTCTGCTGTACGGACACCGAACTTCCCTTAAGATGGCCGCGCCCACGGTGCTCCGGCCTAACGGCGCGGTTACTTGTAATGCATCGTTCTTTTTTGAGTCCCGCTTGCTTCATTTTTTATGCGGCTTCTAAAACGCTTTGCATTTAGAACAGTGATTGAGGTGCCAGAAGTGACTTAAATTTTCCACTGAGCTGAGGCGTCACAGTCGTCATGACCGCTAAGAACGGATGCCGCTCCTTTGTGTAACGGGCCTTTGAGAAGTTTGCGCCGTTCCCTGTCCCCTTCAATGACAAGACCAACTTATTCTGTTTCCTGTCCGTTCAGGGTACTTTACCCCCACGCCATTTCTGCCTGTGTGAACTCAAGCCTCTAATAATCTCTCCATTTTTTGCCAGGTGTCTGGAAATCGGACAGTTTTAGAGGCCTCTGCCCACCGCGTTTCGCGGATGCTGTGCCTTCTGTACGTCATGTACTCAAAGATGGCCGCCCCCAGAGCAGCGAAGCGAAGGCGGTGCTGGCGAGTCTCTTCCTGAGGAAAAACCGGAAGCCCGCATTCCGCTTTCCCGGGAAACGCTGTGGATCCTCTCTGGAGGTTTATGCGGGAGGGAGCTGGGCTAGGGGCCCAGAAGTGGAAGAAGTTTAGGGAAGTTCAGCCTTTAAGAAGTCGCGGCGATTCCAAGGACAGTCAGGTCAGTCTGTACGTCAGGCCGTGGAAACGCTGTGGGAGGGAGCGTTCTGAGGCTGTTGATGGTGGCGCTAGACCGTGGAGGTAGCGCGGGGTTGGGGGTTGGGGTTGGGGGGTCGGGTGTCTTCTTTGGAGGGGCTCTGGTGTCTGTGATGGGGTATCTTGGGTGTCCCTCATGGAGGCTCTGGGTGGTCAGTGATTAAAGGCCTGAGTAGATCAACGACCGATAGTCCTGAGGTCAGGAATTGGGGTATTCGCGAGTCACTCCCTTGTGGGGCTCAGTGACTGAGAACTGATGGGTGGCTGTCGTCAATGAATGTGACGTCTGTTTCACATTCTGGATTAATGGGAGGCTCAGTGATCGAGGAATCATTAAGGGAAGCCAGTGTACGAGTGTATCTACTCCGGGTTTTCCTATTAATCTGGCGGAGTCTTTTGTGTAGAGACAAGTGAAAGCTGAAGTCTTCACAGGAGTCCGGGCTGGTGTGTGTGTGTGTGTGTAGCTCAAACGTTGGCTGCTGGAACAGACTTGATGAACGTTAACATTTCCTAAAGAGTCCTGGCTGGTGTGTGTGTGTGTGTGTGTGTGTGTGTTTCTCAGACTTTGGCTGCTGCAACAGAGTTGAACATTAACATTTCCTAAGGAGTCCTGGCTGGTGTGTGTGTGTGTGTGTGTGTGTGTGTGTGTCTCAGACTTTGGCTGCTGTAACAGACGTGATGAACGTTAACATTTCCTAAGGAGTCCTGGCTGGTGTGTGTGTGTGTGTTTCTCAGACTTTGGCTGCTGTAACAGACGTGATGAACGTTAACATTTCCTAAGGAGTCCTGGCTGGTGTGTGTGTGTGTGTGTGTGTGTGTGTGTGTGTCTCAGACTTTGGCTGCTGTAACAGACGTGATGAACGTTAACATTTCCTAAGGAGTCCTGGCTGGTGTGTGTGTGTGTGTGTGTGTGTGTCTCAGACTTTGGCTGCTGTAACAGAGTTGAACATTAACATTTCCTAAGGAGTCCTGGCTGGTGTGTGTGTGTGTGTGTGTGTGTGTTTCTCAGACTTTGGCTGCTGCAACAGAGTTGAACATTAACATTTCCTAAGGAGTCCTGGCTGGTGTGTGTGTGTGTGTGTGTGTGTGTGTGTGTCTCAGACTTTGGCTGCTGTAACAGACGTGATGAACGTTAACATTTCCTAAGGAGTCCTGGCTGGTGTGTGTGTGTGTGTTTCTCAGACTTTGGCTGCTGTAACAGACGTGATGAACGTTAACATTTCCTAAGGAGTCCTGGCTGGTGTGTGTGTGTGTGTGTGTGTGTGTTTCTCAGACTTTGGCTGCTGTAACAGACATGATGAACGTTAACATTTCCTAAGGAGTCCTGGCTGGTGTGTGTGTGTGTGTGTGTGTGTGTCTCAGACTTTGGCTGCTGTAACAGAGTTGAACATTAACATTTCCTAAGGAGTCCTGGCTGGTGCGTGTGTGTGTGCGCGTGTGTGTGTGTTTCTCAGACTTTGGCTGCTGCAACAGAGTTGAACATTAACATTTCCTAAGGAGTCCTGGCTGGTGTGTGTGTGTGTGTGTGTGTGTGTGTGTTTCTCAGACTTTGGCTGCTGCAACAGAGTTGAACATTAACATTTCCTAAGGAGTCCTGGCTGGTGTGTGTGTGTGTGTGTGTGTGTGTGTTTCTCAGACTTTGGCTGCTGTAACAGACGTGATGAACGTTAACATTTCCTAAGGAGTCCTGGCTGGTGTGTGTGTGTGTGTTTCTCAGACTTTGGCTGCTGTAACACACGTGATGAACGTTAACATTTCCTAAGGAGTCCTGGCTGGTGTGTGTGTGTGTGTGTGTGTGTGTGTGTGTTTCTCAGACTTTGGCTGCTGCAACAGAGTTGAACATTAACATTTCCTAAGGAGTCCTGGCTGGTGTGTGTGTGTGTGTGTGTGTGTTTCTCAGACTTTGGCTGCTGTAACAGACGTGATGAACGTTAACATTTCCTAAGGAGTCCTGGCTGGTGTGTGTGTGTGTGTTTCTCAGACTTTGGCTGCTGTAACAGACGTGATGAACGTTAACATTTCCTAAGGAGTCCTGGCTGGTGTGTGTGTGTGTGTGTGTGTGTTTCTCAGACTTTGGCTGCTGTAACAGACATGATGAACGTTAACATTTCCTAAGGAGTCCTGGCTGGTGTGTGTGTGTGTGTGTGTGTGTGTGTGTGTGTTTCTCAGACTTTGGCTGCTGTAACAGAGTTGAACATTAACATTTCCTAAGGAGTCCTGGCTGGTGTGTGTGTGTGTGTGTGTGTGTGTGTGTTTCTCAGGCTTTGGCTGCTGCAACAGACGTGATGAATGTTAACATTTCCTAAGGAGTCCTGGCTGGTGTGTGTGTGTGTGTGTGTGTGTTTCTCAGACTTTGGCTGCTGTAACAGAGTTGAACATTAACATTTCCTAAGGAGTCCTGGCTGGTGTGTGTGTGTGTGTGTGTGTGTGTCTCAGACTTTGGCTGCTGTAACAGAGTTGAACATTAACATTTCCTAAGGAGTCCTGGCTGGTGTGTGTGTGTGTGTGTGTGTGTGTGTATCTCAGACTTTGGCTGCTGTAACAGAGTTGAACATTAACATTTCCTAAGGAGTCCTGGCTGGTGTGTGTGTGTGTGTGTTTCTTAGACTTTGGTTGCTGTAACAGACGTGATGAATGTTAACATTTCCTAAAAGTTTCAGGTCCAAGTCCCTCCTCCACCATGAGTTTTCTAACCCTTTGTCTTCCCACAACAACCCATACTCTTGAACCTGCAGAAAATGAAAGTTTTTTGGGAGACAGGAAAGAGGAGATGAATAAGCTTTCTATTTAAGAGTCTATTTTTTTAAATTACTGCTGCACAAATTAATAAGAGCCAATTTTTATCCTTCCTCTTGCAAATGTACTGCATATTTTTTATCGATGTTTCCTTTCAGGTTTTATATGTTAGTATATAAAGGCAGCTATTTTTCCAGTATTTATATTTTTGAATTATTTTATAAATTTGTATTTATACCTCATATTCCTTCTCTCTGTATCCCTCCTTTTTTTTTTTTTCAATGTGTTCCTTGTTCTTCATATTGAAGTGTGTATATAAACACTTTTTTTTTTTTTTTTAGGTAAAGTCTTGTCTTATTGCCCGGGCTAGAATGTAATGGTGTGATCTTGGCTCACTGCAACCTCTACCTCCTGGGTTCAAGTCATTCTTCTGCCTCAGCCTCCTGAGTAGCTGGGATTATAGGTACCCTTCACCACACCCAGCTAATTTTTTGTATTTTTAGTAGAGACAGGATTTCACCATGTTGACCAGGCTGGTCTCGAACTCCTGACCTCAGGTGATCTGCCTGCCTTGGCCTACCAAAGTGCTAGGATTACAGGCATGAGCCACTGTGCCTGGCTGTATATAAACACTTTTAAATCTATATAAAGGCTTTTAAAGCGGTGTGAAGGTAACACTGTACAAAGGAAAAAATGTACAGTTTTTCACCATCCATATGGCCTTCTTTAAAAAACTGATACAAGAATTACCTACTACTTAGGCATGATGCTGTGTGGATTGTCCTTTGTGACCTTCCCTTTCACCTTCATGTTACTTCCACACTTTACAGAAGAAAGGCATTCGACCTACATTGAGGGTCTGCACTTCACTGGTTTGAGAGAACCAAATAAAGAGACAGATACTCAGGGCCACACGTTAAGGTGAATGTACGTCTGAAAGTTGTTTTGCTCTCCATTCCACAGGTCCTGGCTACCCTGGGAAGAGACAGGAAATGCATGAAGAAAGAGGAAGATTCCAGGACCTAGATATGATTTCTGTGAATACCCTTCACTGGTAATGACCAGGGTTTCTAACTGGAAATTTAAGGCAGATCCAGAGGAGACAAAGACAGTGTATCCCGGTGCTGACCGCTTCCCACAACAGAAGAAAATGCTCAATGCCCAGGTGACTTTTCTCTATTTTTTTCTCTCCTTTATTCCATAGTGGATTTGTAGAGACCTGTAAGAAATCATTTCAGAATATAGAGAGAAATAAACTTTAAATCTAACTCCAACGTCATGGCAAACACCAGGAATATAGTGTTTATATAATTCCTACAAAATGACTGATGTTGGAACACAACGCCTGGCTAGAAGACCTTTTCCATCACGTTAGCTGTCAGCTTGCATCCGATGTCTCTGACAGCCAGTACAAGAGAGTCATGCTGAGTTATATAATATACAGTAACTGAGGAGAAAGCAGAGCTTCCTCAGTAGATCATTATTTCATGGCAGTTAGAGCTCAAGAAAAATTTGCTGTCCGTTTCAGAGGTGATGTAGCGAGCAGTGTTTTGAACTAGCTTTCTAATAAAGGCAGGAGATTTCTCACTGCTGTTTGTTACAGGGTGCCTCAGATACTGCTGTGGAAATAGACCGGGCAACCTCAGTGCACTGACACAGGTTTTTCAGGGGACGAAAGCAAGACCACTCATAGGACTCAGTCTTCTGTGTCTGTGTGAGCTTATTTACGAATAAAATCTAAGTGGCCTAGGAAAATAGAAGGCGTGCTTAACTTCCCTTTGTCCTGAACAGGTGGCTGAACTGGCCTGTAACTACAGATTTGGCATTAGGGAGTTGTCTGATAAGGTCTTGAGTTGTTGGGTGCCATGTTTGATAATTTCACCTCATCTCAGAATATACAGAATCCTTCTGCATTTTCATCTCCAATTCTTACATGCTTTTATTTTTTGTAATGATGTAAATTACTCATGAATTCCAAAGGGAAAAAAAATGTGGTTTTTTTGTTTGTGTGGGGGTTTTTTTTTTTTTTTTTTGAGAAAGAGTCTCACTCTGTCGCTGAGGCTGGAGTGAGATGGACGGTGTGATCTCAGCTCACTGCAATCCCCGCTTCCCGGGTTCAAGCCATTCTCTTGTCTCACCTTCCTGAGTAGCTGGGATTACAGGTGTGTGTCACCATGCCTGGCTAATTTTTGTATTTTTAGTAGAGATGGGGTTTCGCCATATTGGCCAGGCTGGTCTCGAACTCCTGACTTCAGGTGATCCACTCACCTTGGCCTCCCAAAGTACTGGGATTACAGGTGTGAGCACCTGCGCCCAGCCCCAAAGGGAAGTAAATTCTAATGACGAAGTACATACTGTTTACAAAAGTAAATTCCTTCTTCATAACTTACTTCCTAATCCCCTTATACTGCTTCAACAAATGTTTGGTAGCACATACTTGCTGTCACCAAACTGTGTGCATCTCTGTATGTATATGTATGTATGGCTTCTCATACAGACATCTGTGTCTTTTATGTATGTGTCTGTATATATAAACACATTTATTATGGCTTCTTCTGTTGGTCATCTTAGATCAAGCGTGTACAACCTGTGGTCTGGTCTGCGGGCTGCACGCAGCCCAGGATGGCTTCAAATGCAGCCCAATACAAGTTTGTAAATTTTCTTTTTCTTTTTTTTGAGATAGAGTTTTGCTCTTGTTACCCAGGCTGGAGTGCAATGGCGCGATCTCGGCTCACCGCAACCTCCTCCTCCTGGGTCCAGGCAATTCTCCTGCCTCAGCCTCCTGAGTAGCTGGGATTACAGGCACGCGCCACCATGCCCAGCTAATTTTTTGTATTTTTAGTAGAGACAGGGTTTCACCATGTCGACTAGGATGGTCTCGATCTCTTGACCTCGTGATCCACCTGCCTCGGCCTCCCAAAGTGCTGGGATTACAGGCTTGAGCCACCGCGCCCGGCCCAAATTTTCTTAAAACATTATGAGAATTTTTTGTTTTTTTTTTTCAGCTATCATTAGTGTATTTTATGCGTGGCCCAAGATGTTTCTTTTTCCATTGTGTCCCAGGGAAGACAAAAGATTGGGCACTCCTACCTTAGATGGCATAGTTTTAGAATAGAAAGGAATAACCACTGTAATTAATTGAAGAATATTAACTATATAAAATTCCATTTATCTAAAGTCATACATAAAAATATTGTTAAACTACGTAAAGTATTTAAGTGAGTGCCTGCCACATAGAGACTGATACATGGAGTCCTTTGTGCCTTTAAATCTTTGCCAATACTTAAAAATAGGACATTATGAAATTACACAGTTTTTAATGGTCCAGTGTTCTTTTGTTGTATATTGCATTTTTCTCATCACAGGTGAGGTTGAAACCCTTTTTATGTATGTCTTAGCCAACTGGATTTTTTTCTCTTGTGAAATGCCTGACTTAATTTTTATTTATTTATTTTTTTGAGACGAAGTTTCACTGTTGCTACCCAGGCTGGAGTGCAATGGCATGATCTCGGCTCACCGCAACCTCCACCTTCTGGGTTCAAGCGATTCTCCTGCCTCAGCCTCCCGAGTAGCTGGGATTACAGGCGCGCACCACCATGCCCAGCTAATTTTTGTATTTTTAGTAGAGATGGGGTTTCACCTTGTTGACAGGATGGTCTCGATCTCTTGACCTTGTGATCCACCCGCCTCGGCCTCCCAAAGTGCTGGGATTACAGGCGTGAGCCACCGCGCCTGGCCAAAATGCCTGACTTTATAACTTTTACATTAAAAATACTTTCTTACTGGTTAATGAGTTATTTATATCTACTACGTATTGCTCTTCTGTTTACTCCAAGTGTTTTTTTTTAGCCTGTCATTTTTTTTTCAGCTTTGTTTATGATCAATTTTTCAATGTAGAAATTTAGTTTTTTTTATAAAATTCATCCATTTTTTTCTTTATGGCTTTGAACATGAATATATTTCATATTTGCTTCTATTGTTTTCTGGTTAGGATTTTAAAGAGGAAAACTTATTTTTGAGTATTAATTAGGTAGAAACCTAAGGGTTTTTTTCCCCAGATTTATTTCTCATGTGAAATAATTCAGAATGTGATAAGATCAGCAGCATTAAGAATTTGCAGATTTTACCAAGTGCATTCTCTTCTCTGTGTATTAATTTCTGCAATTACATGAGGACAGATTATCCCATCAATTTTCACCTAGCTCTTTCCTTCCCACTACCATATTATTATAAGTCGTGTTGAGATAGGAGAGTGGCAGTTTAGCTGACAAGAGCGTCTCAATTTATTGTGGCATCTGGGGCTAGGCCATACTATGCAATTTGCCAATTGCCACAGAATCAAGATACTGAAGATGTTATTCTGCACTTCCCTTGCTGCTTTCATTTTTGCGGAAGTCAGTTGTTGGGACATCCTGTCTTTCTTCGGATGGTAATGCGTCTTTTCCTCCTGTTCATGGTTGTTTTCATAATGTTATATATGCATCGGATGCTCAATTGTTTCAGTCCGATGTGTCTAGATGTGGATTTTCTGCTTTGCTTTGTTGGTTTACTGAATCTGAGTTATAGGATATTTAATCAGTTCTGAAAATTCCTCACGCAGCTGTTTGGAAATTGCTTCTCCTATTTCAATATAATGTTTCAAAAACTATGTATAGGCATATGTTAGACCTCTCTCTGTCTTCCATATTTAATCAACTCTCCTTCATAGTTTTTTTCACTTTGTGTCTCTGCTTCATTTTTAAGTTATTTTAATTTTTTGAGACAGGATCTCACTCTGTCACCCATGCTGGAATGCAGTGGCTGGATCACAGCTCACTGCAGCCTCAACTGCCTGGGCTCCAGCAATCCTCCCACCTTACCTACCTTCCCAAGTATCTGGGACCACAGGTGTGTGCCACCACACCTGGCTAACTTTTGTCTTTTTGGTAGAGGCGAGATTTCACCATGTTTCCCAGGCTGGTCTTGAATGCCTAAGCTCAAGGTTTCCACCTGCCTCAGCCTCCCAAAGTGCTAGGATTACAGGTGTGAGCTACCACACCTGGCCCTGTTACTCTTTTTACTGTGAATTCCAACTCACTAATTATCTCTTCAGTGGATCTAATATATCCTTTCTGATAATAGACACACATACCTGCGACTGTATACATATATATGCATATGTATGTATGTGTGTGTATATAGATATATATTTGATATATATTTCCAAGAATAATTTTTCACAGTTTGATTAATCTTTAATAGTTTCTTATGCTTCTATATATTTCTATTTTTAATCCATTTAATAATTAAACATGAATGTAGTATCCTGTGATTCTAGCATCTAGAGTCTTTCCATGTCTCATGCTAGTATTATCTGGGAAGGCTTACAGCCAATAAAACAATTATTTCAGATATCTAGATGTCAGTAGCATATACTTTCCTGACTGGCCAATATATACTTAAATTAAAATTCATACGTAAAACCTGTTTTTACTGAGAGAATTTGAAATTTGATGTAAAACCTTAATTTTTATTGAGCAAGCAGGCACTGTACAATTATAGAAAACTTGAGATTAATTCTCTGGCAATATTAAAAAATACAATAGGCTTATAGACGCATGCAGTCTATGTGGTTAAGGTCAGCAGGACAACTTCCTTCACATTCTTTTCATGTCAGTAAAAGAGAAACACTTACTATTAACCAAGGCTCTGTGTTTTTACAGGAATCGCTGACACTGGAGGACGTTACGGTGGAGTTCACCTGGGAGGAGTGGCAGCTCCTGGACCCTTCTCAGAAGGACTTGTACCGGGATGTGATGTTGGAGATCTACAGCAACCTGGTATCAGTGGGTAAGGACAGATGCCCTGGGTCACCTGAAAGGCGCCCAGTCTGTGGCCTTTGCTTTCTCAGCTCCTTGCCCTTGGAAGACACTGCAGTGCTCTGAATAGCAGATTTTCAGTGCATCCTCTAGCTTCTGATAAAAGGATGTATCCCTCATTGTCCAGGAAGGATTGGTTTCACAACTTTCCAAAGACTTGAAATCCACACATGCTCGAGTCTCATGTAAATGGCATTGTAGGGCCGGGCGCGGTGGCTCAAGCCTGTAATCCCAGCACTTTGGGAGGCCAAGGCGGGTGGATCACGAGGTCAACAGATCGAGACCATCCTGGTCAACATGGTGAAACCCCGTCTCTACTAAAAATACAAAAACTTAACTGGGCATGGTGGCGCGTACCTGTAATCCCAGCTACTCGGGAGGCTGAGGCAGGAGAATTGCCTGAACCCAGGAGGCAGAGGTTGCAGTGAGCCGAGATCGCGCCATTGCACTCCATCCTGGGTAACAAGAGCGAAACTCCGTCTCAAAAATAAATAAATAAATAAATAAATAAATGGCATTGTATTTGCATATAATCTATACACGCCTCCTCCCAAATTCTTTAAATCATTTCTAGGTTACACTTGATACTTAATACAATGTAAATGCCATGTAAATAGTTGTTATACTCTATGTTTTGTTTTTTTTATTATTATTATTTTTCTTTAGAGACAGGGTCTTGCTCTGTCACCCAGGATGGAATGTAGTGGTGCCTTCATTGGCTTCTACAGCCTTGAATTGGATTCAAGTGATCCTCCTGTGAGGAGCTATGCCTGCAGGTGCAAACCACCATGCTTGGCCAGTTTTTTTTTTTTTTTTTTTTTTTTGTAGAGATGGAGTCTGTGTTGCCCAGGCAGGTCTCCAACTCCTGGCTTCAAGTGTTGGTTTCACGTCAGCCTCCTATAGTGCTGGGATTATAGGCAAGAGCCATTGCACTTTGTATTTTTTGTTATTGTATTATTATTTTTTATTGTTGTTTTAAAAAGATATTTTCAATCCGTCGTTGGTTGAATCCCTTGATGTGAAATTTTCAGATATTAAGGTCTGACTGTAATCTGCCCTTTCTGAGAGAAAAGCCTCTACTTTGCAGATGTGAAAACTGTCTGTCACCTAAATGTAACATTCTCTCGTGTTACATGTCCCAGCCTCATCCATTGCGTCTAAGTCTTCTATCATTTCCATAAACAGGTTTTCAAGTCAGCAAACCAGATGCACTCTCCAAGTTGGAACGAGGAGAAGAACCATGGACAATAGGAGATGAAAGGCACAGTCGAATCTGTCCAGGTACGTGAGAACCAGCGAGATGCGTAAGTCATGTTATAGTCAGTAAGAGAAGGCTGTGTGAGTGTCTGAGGACACAGAAGCAGTGACTACATTAAGAATAGGAATCATGGCCGGGCTCAGTGGCTCACGCCTATAGTCCCAGCACTTTGGGAGGCCGAGGCGGGTGGATCACGAGGTGAAGAGATCAAGACAATCCTGGTCAACGAGGTGAAACCCCGTCTCTACTAAAAATACAAAAAAAAATTAGCTGGGCATGGTGGCATGTGTCTGTAGTACCAGCTACTCAGGAGGCTGAGGCAGAAGAATTGCCTGAACCCAGGAGGCGGAGGTTGTGGTGAGCCGAGATCGCGCCATTGCACTCCAGCCTGGGTAACAAGAGCGAAACTCCGTCTAAAAAAAAAAAAAGAATAGACATGGTTAGGCCAGGCGTTGTGGCTCATGCCTGTAATCCCAGCACTTTTGGAGGCCGAGGCGGGTGGATCACGAGGTCAAGAGATCGAGACCATCCTGGTCAACAAGGTGAAACCCCGTCTCTACTAAAAATACAAAAATTAGCTGGGCATGGTGGCGTGCGCCTGTTGTCCCAGCTACTCAGGAGGCTGAGGGAGGAGAATTGCTTGAACCCAGAAGGCAGAGGTTGTGGTGAGCCGAGATCGTGCCATTGCACTCCAGCCTGGGTAACAACAGCGAAACTCCGTCTCAAAAAAAAAAAAAAAATAGGAATCGTTTTCTCTCCACCAATTAAGGTTGTGTTCTTGTTTGGTACCATACATCTGTCCTGTCCGTGCTGATATTACACTGAATGCCCTCTACCTAAGGAGTTCTCTTCTTAAAAGTCTCTATGAGTTTGTTGAGTGTTTACCTAGAAAGGACTGTTTCGCGTCTTACATCAGCTCTATACCAGACCAGGTCATAACTTACATCTATCTCAGAGTACTTCCTCTGTACATTTGATTTCTGCTTTTCCTTTAGTTCATCTTAGACAGTAGCATTGTATTCATTTCCCTAATGTGTTCTTCCCATTACAGATTGGTTTTTTTAACAGCTTAGGTATTTTACATACCATACCATTTGCCAATTTTAAGTTTATTTTTCAGTGCTTTGTAGTATGTGAACAGTTATGTGACCATCACCTTAGTGAATTTTGGATTTCACTGAATTACTTAAAAAAAATTTCCTTCACCGGGCACGGTGGCTCAAGCCTGTAATCCCAGCACTTTGGGAGGCCGAGGCAGGTGGATCACGAGATCAAGAGATCGAGACCATCCTGGTCAACAAGGTGAAACCCCGTCTCTACTAAAAATACAAAAAATTAGCTGGGCATGGTGGCGCGTGCCTGTAATCCCAGCTACTCAGGAGGCTGAGGCAGGAGAATTGCCTGAACCCAGGAGGTGGAGGTTGTGGTGAGCCGAGATCGCACCATTGCACTCCAGCCTGGGTAACAAGAGCGAAACTCCGTCTCAAAAATAAATAAATAAATAAATAACATAAAAATTAAAAAAAATAAAAATTTCCTTCCAAGCCCTTAGTCCTAGGCAATCACGAATCTACTTTTTATCTCTATAGATTTGCCTGTTCTGGACATTTTATATAAATAGAGTCAAAATATATGGTCTTTTTTGTCTGGCTTCTTTCATGTAGCATGTTTTTGAAATTCTTCCATTCTTTAGCATGTATCAGTACTTCAATTCTTTTTATTGTTGAATAATACTCCATTGTATGGATATACCATATTTTTATTTATCCATTCATCTGTTGGATGAACATTTGGGTTATTTCTGCTTTTTGGCTTTTATGAATCATGCTGCTATGAATATTTGTGTACAATTTTTTCAGAAACATATTTTCATTTTTCTTGAGCCTTCACCTAGGAGTAATATTGCCGGGTCACTTGTAGTCCAGGAGGGGGTCCAAGGGCAGTACTTCTGGTCCTTCTCTCACTGTGGACATTAAATTTCTTCCCAGCCACGGTGTGTGACAATACAGAGTATTGCCAGCTAGGGAAGCTCACTTGAGCCTTTGGTGGCCAGACTTTTGATTGGGTTTCAGTCACTTACAGCCCACCTTCCTGGCTAACCTTTCGTCTTCAGGCTTTCCCAGAAGTTGGGCTAATGTCTAGAGTGTCCAGTTTTTCCAAAGGTTGGAACTGATATGTCATGGCCCAAAGGCCCCTATCATAAATATTATTGTTACACTGTTCTGTGGCCAAAGCCATCAGGCAAACAAAGACACTCCTATGGGACAGGACATTCCAGGGGCCTAGAGATCATTTCTTAATAGCTAAGAAAAATTGCTAGACCTCTCTTTGGATGAAATTAGATCTAGTTCCTCACTACACAGAAGATTACTGTAAAAATTAACAATAAAGTGGTTAATTTAGGAATACAGAGGAAATAGAGCATATCGGCAGTGTTGGGAACCAGCCCAACCCTGAGCACGGATGCCCCGTGTCTCAGCAGTGATGAGGGAGTGAGAAAAGAAATAAAGACAAAGACACAAGAATAGAATTTTACAGCATAGGTCCTGGGGTCCAACGCACTCTCGTGGGTGCGGGTTGGCCCTGAGCTCTGGGCTCCATGCGCTTTTATGAGGTGTACTATCTTGTTAATATTGCAGGCTGTAGGGAGGAGGGTTGAGGAGGACTTGCTGGAGGAAAAGCATTCATCTGCAGCATTCAGTAGCACACATGGTTGTCCTAAGAAATGCTAACGAAGGACACTGATATTTTACCACCTATTGTCTAACCAGGTGTTTTGGCAACAGAAGTATAGGGGATAAGGCACCATAAGGTCTGACCACACACAATGCATTAAGGGGCTTTTATCTCCTGAGCATTGTGAACACAGAGCAGTCGTAATTGCTTCATATTCTGAGAACATGGCAGAGCCTGTGGCGTCCTGGTTTCTGCCGTGCAAGGCTTTCTAGCCTTACCAGCACCCATCTGCGAAGACCTTCCCAAATCTTATGAGCAGAGGTTGCATTTCTTCCCAGTAAACCTCCCTTTATGACTGTTAGACAAACTGTATGTTAGGAAGAGTTATGGGACCAAAGCAGTTTTTTTGCTGCTCTGCAACCACACTGCAGTGCTCCACAGTTGTAGGGCGCTCTCAGATGTCTTTTCCATAGGCCTCCTGTACCACCTGATCTCTGCTTTTATTTCACTGCACCATAGTTTGGATATGATCCGTGGCACAGATCTCAGTGTATAAAAAAGCAAAGCAAGCTTGTAATCATTTAACTATAAGTAACACAGGTCGGGCCCTGGCCATCTCTTCCCACATGGCAGGATAGTCAGAATTGCATCAAGAGTATGATGTGCACAAGGCATATCTAGATTTTAAATTAGGCAGATGGTGACATGAATTAATAAAGAAGGCACGAAATAGGAATTGTGCAAGGCCATGGGCTTGACTCTCAAAAGATTGGCTTCCAGTTGGCCAAGTACAGGGCAGTGATAGAAGCTATTTGTTGGAGAAATCTTGGAGCAAAAACGATAATATTCATGGTAATGTAAACTTTCTTTAATCAAGATGACTTTTTATTTTATTTTTATTTATTTATTTTTATTTTATTTTTTTTTTGATACGGAGTTTCGCTCTTGTTACCCAGGCTGGAGTGCAATGGCGCAATCTCGGCTCACTGCAACCTCCGCCTCCTGGGTTCAGGCAATTTTGCTGCCTCAGCCTCCTGAATAGCTGGGATTACAGGCACGTGCCACCATGCCCAGCTAATTTTTGTATTTTTAGTAGAGATGGGTTTTCACCTTGTTGACCAGGATGGTCTCGATCTCTTGACCTCGTGATCCACCCGCCTCGGCCTCCCAAAGTGCTGGGATTATAGGGGTGAGCCACCGTGCCCGGCCTTATTTATTTATTTTTTAAGATGGTGTCTCGCTCTGTTACCAGCCTGGAGTGCAGTTGCACAATCTCGGGTCACTGCAACCTCCACCACCTGGGTTCAAGTAATTCTCTGCCTCAGCCTCCCTAGTAGCTGGGATTACAGGCACCTGCCACCACGCCCAGCTAATCTTTGCATTTTTAGTAGAGAGGGGTTTCACCATCTTGGCCAGGCTGGTCTTGAACTCCTGACTTCGTGATCTACCCAATTTGGCCTCCCAAAGTACTGGGATTGTAGGTGTGAGCTACCGTGCCTGGCCGACTTTTGATTTTAATTATGAGTAACTGAGGTAGCATGGTTGAGGGTTGGTTAATTTTATATATTTTTTCTTTTCACAAGATACCTTGATAGTCTGACCTTTCACCTGGATGACAGCAGTGTAGCAACAATAAGGAACAGCTAAATGTCTTAAGAAAAACTGAAGGTGAAGCTGGCACAACCTTTATCTAGAAGGAATAAATTTATCATTTAGTACAACTTAACTGATGCTGAGACATAAATGTAGCATTACTGAAGCAGATGCTGTTGGTGGCAGATGAGGAGACGGTATATCAGAGATATTGAAATGGGAAAAATTGGATATGACTTTTTTTTTTTTTTTTTTGAGACAGGGTCTCACTTTGTTGCTCAGGCTACAGTGCAGTGGCACAATTTTGGCTCACTGCAGCCTCGACCTCCTGGGCTCAAGCGATCTTCCCACCTCAGCCTCCCAAGTAGCTGAGACTACAGGCACACGTCACCATGCCAGGCTAATTTTTGTATTTTTTGTAAGGATGGTGTTTCACCATGTTGCCCAGGCTGGTCTGGAACTCCAGAGCTCAAGTGATCTGCCCACCTCAGCTTCCTAAAGTGCTGGGTTTACAGGCGTGAGCCAACGTGCTTGGCCTTGATGTGACTTTTCTACTACATGCAGAATGTGATTGAAGAAGGTGACAGTTTTCATATCCCATGCAGCCGCATATTTGCTTCTGAAGGCAACTACATGGTACACTGGCTAGTGTACCATGCAAAATTCCTATCATTGTTTTCCTGTTTCATAATTAGTGGAACATAGGATAACGTGACACAGCTAAATGAAAGGGCGGAGGGTCGACTGTAGGCGTTGTTCACTAAATGTGATGGATGTTTTTGGAGAGTTAGTAGTCTACAGATTGAAGAGGGGCAAATTGAGTAACAGCATTACCACACGAGTCTATCTCAGTTCACTGAAGTTCAACAGTTGGGGATTTCCAATTCTTACTTGCCAGGCAACAAGTATGTAAATGCATTTATTCTCTACATCTCAGTAAGCATATTTCCCTGATCTTTGTAGTCACAGTTGGTTCCTCTAAGGGGGTTTAAATAATTCCAAAACTGTAGGGCCACAGCCCTACTGGGTTGTTGGGTGCTCCCTATTGCTGTGTTGAGTTGTAGGATCTAAGAAACAAAGAGACAGGACACAGGACTGGAAAAGAGCAGCTGGGCTTGGGGGGTCGCACCACCTATAAGCGGAGACAGGCGAGGCCCCAAATTTCCAGAAGTGTCTGTATTTATGAGGTACAAGACAGGGGGAAGGGTTATGAGTGAGGTCACCTATAGGCTTAATGATAAGACATACATAATCACATGATTAGCAAGCAAGGGGGCCACTCCATTAGGTCACCTAGTCAGAGAGGTGGGCCATGCCATAATAGGGGGCTGTGCTGTGTGCAGTAGTAGAAGGTTGTATATAAAAAAGGGGGTCTATCCCCATTAGGTCACTGAAGCAAGGCGGTGAGCTGTGTGCAACAAGTGCCATGTGCAACACTTCTTATCTGGGGGCTGGAGACTTCAAAGGATTCCTATAGAAGGATGTTGTAAACCAATGCAGCGGGAGCTGACACAGTGTGCTCTTCTCTAAGATAATTTATAGGAGGATGATTTGAGCCAGCCTAGTAGAGAGAAAAAGCTGACAGGGTGTACAGCTGCCATGGTGCGATTACACCAGAGGGGTTTTCTCCCTCAGTTGTCCATGGGATCTCAGGCTGAAGGCCTGCTTTCCACAAGAACTAGATGCAAGGTACGGCAACTCCTTTTCAGGAGGAATAACTCTTGCTTCAAGCTAGCCGTGTAGCAGGTGCCGAGTGCTGCCGTCTAGGACCTGACCTGCCATATAGCATATGCCCTTTCAGGCAGGGGTGTTACTGCCTGGGTCTGCCTGTTTTTCCCATGTACTTGCTTCTGCTCTGTGACTGCTCTAGGCATTCCTTACTACAAACTACTATATGGTTATATAGAAGGATTATATAAATCAGCACTAAATGTATCTGTACAGTTTCTACTACAATTTGTTATATGATTATATGGACAAAGATTGTATGGACCTAAGTATGATTATATATGTGTGTGTATACATATATAGATCTAAGATCTAAGATTATATGGAACTAAGTATGATTACATATATAAGCTAGATATAAGTAAGTAGTAAGTTATACTTCAAGCACTAATTGTGCCTGGGATCTACACAGCTCTCCTTCCTTGGTGCCCATGTGGGAGGTTACCCACACAAAACTACACGTTGGAATGTCTAAAACCTTAGTTCTATACCTTCATCTTTTATTCTACACATCTTCTCAAAATGGTATCCTGGCCCAGTGCTCACACCTGTAGTTCCAGCACTTTGGGAAGTCAACGTGGGCAGATCACTTGAGCCCAAGAGTTCAAGACAAGCTCAGGCAGCATGGCAAGACCCCATCTCTACAAAAAATCAGTTGAGTGTGGTGGCATGCTCCTGTAGTCCCAGCTACTCAGGAGACTGAGGTGGGAAAATCGCTTGAGCCTGGGAGGTGGAGATTGTAGTGAGGCAAGATTGTGCCACTGCATGCCAGCCTGGGTGACAGTGAGAACCTGTCTCAAAAAAAATAAAAGTAATTCAGTCTGTTTTTCTCAAATAATATGTATGTACTGATTATTTCCACACTGCCTTCTCCATTTATACCTCCAGCCAGATTGCTGATGTCTGTGTTACATATTTGATAACCATTTCAAAGTGGCTCAAGCCATATAGTTAGTAATCTTTGAGTCCCCACTTTCCTTAACCACTCTCCCCACTGAATTAATCATTTAACCTTCTTTTCTTTATACAAATATATCTGGCTCTCCTCCACCTCTCAGCATCTACACTGCTCCTTCAAACCACACTTAACATCTCCAACTTTCTTTTTTTGTTTGTTCCTTCTTGTTTATTCAGTTTTTCCTAACTAGAATTCAGCATCAGTGAGAATAAGGCATATTTTATAAATCTCAAATGCCAGCAGAGTGCCTTGTCTATAGGAGTCATTCAACAAATACTAATGGAGTGAATAAATACAACCCTCAGCATTTTGGATCAGTTGCCTTTTCCACCTTTGTGATCTGGTGTCTCCTCAAAGTTTATGGAATGGTGTTCCCCCAAGCCCTGTTCTTTGCTTGTAATAATGACTTGCTTGAGGCTGGGCACGGTGGCTCACGCCTGTAATCTCAGCCCTTTGGGAGGCCAAGGCAGGTGGATTGCCTGAGGTCAGGAGTTCAAGACCAGCCTGGCCAACATCGGGAAACCTCATCTCTACTAAAAATACAAAAATTAGCCAGGCATGGTGATAGGCACCTGTAATTCCAGCTACTTGGGAGGTTGAGGCAGGATAATCACTTGAACCCAGGAGGTGGAGGTTGCAGTGAGCTGAGATCACACCATTGCACTCCAGCCTGGGTGACAAGAGCAAGATTTTGTCTCAAATAATGATAATAGTAATGACTTGCTTGTATTTTACTATGTCTGCATGTTTTGCAAGTTCCTATTTAGAAAGCCATCAAATCTATACAGATTATCAACTGCCTAACCTTATTTGCACACAGACTGCTTTTACTCTTTGGTTTGTTTATTATGTCTTTACCAAAGTGTATACATGAAGTTGCTTATACTGTTATCATAGTGTTGTCATTAAAGAGCCATATTTAAAAACACCTGGCCAGGTGCAGTGGCTCATACCTATAATCCCAGCACTTTGAGAGGCTAAGGTGGGAGGATTACCCAAGGTTAGGAGTTCGAGACCAGCCTGGCTAACATAGTGAAACCCTGCCTCTACTAAAGATACAAAAATTAGCTGGGCATAATGGCACACACCTGTTATCCCAGCTACTCTGGAGGCTGAGGCGGGAGAATTGCTTGAACCCAGGAGGCGAAGGTTGCAGTGAGCTGAGATCATGCCACTGCACTCCAGCCTGGGTAACATAGTGAGACTCTGTCTCAAAAAATATAAATAAATAAATAATAAAATAAACATACCAAGGATTTTTTTTTTTAAAGAAAACACTTTTATCCCCAACAAGATATGAAAGGATTCATTGTTCTCTTCTTTCCCAGAAAACAACAAAGTTGATGAACATCTGCAGGATCACTTGGAAAATCAAAGGATGCTGAAGAGTGTGGAACACCACCATAAACATAATGCATTTGGAAATATTGCCTCTCAAACCAAAAGCCATTGTCTTTTCAGGGAAAATCATGATACATTTGAATTATATATAAAAACTTTGAAATCAAATTTAAGTTTAGTCAACCAGAACAAAAGCTGTGAAATTAAGAACTCTAATAAATTTAATGGAGATCGGAAATCATTTCTTCATGGTAAGTATGAAGAACTTCACTCTGCAGCTAAATTCTCTGTAAGTACGCCATCTAGTAGCACCAAATCCCAAGTCAGTAAGCATCAAAGAACTCAAGAAATAGAGAAAACCCACATCTGCAGTGAATGTGGGAAAGCGTTTGTCAAGAAGTCTCAGCTCACTGATCATGAGAGAGTTCATACTGGAGAAAAACCTTACGGATGTACTTTGTGTGCAAAAGTGTTCTCCAGAAAGTCCAGGCTAAATGAACATCAAAGAATTCATAAAAGAGAGAAATCTTTCATATGCAGTGAATGCGGGAAAGTCTTCACCATGAAGAGTCGTCTGATTGAACATCAGCGAACTCATACTGGAGAGAAACCCTATGTATGCAATGAATGTGGAAAAGGCTTCCCCGGCAAGCGTAATCTCATTGTACATCAGCGAAATCATACTGGAGAGAAATCCTATGTATGTAGTGAATGTGGAAAAGGCTTCACTGGGAAGAGCATGCTTATCATACATCAACGAACTCATACAGGAGAGAAACCCTACATTTGTAGTGAATGTGGGAAAGGCTTTACCACAAAGCACTATGTCATCATACATCAGCGAAATCATACAGGAGAGAAGCCGTATATATGCAACGAATGTGGGAAAGGCTTCACCATGAAGAGCCGTATGATCGAACATCAACGAACTCATACAGGAGAGAAACCCTATGTATGCAACGAATGTGGAAAAGCCTTTCCCAGGAAGAGTAATCTCATTGTACATCAGAGAAATCATACAGTAGAGAAATCATATCTATGTAGTGAATGTGGAAAAGGTTTTACTGTGAAAAGCATGCTCATCATACATCAGCGAACTCACACTGGAGAGAAACCCTACATATGCAGTGAATGTGGGAAAGGCTTCCCCTTGAAGAGTCGGCTGATTGTACATCAGCGAACTCATACTGGAGAGAAACCTTATAGGTGCAGTGAATGTGGGAAAGGTTTCATTGTGAATAGTGGACTGATGTTACATCAGCGAACTCATACTGGAGAGAAACCCTACATATGCAGTGAATGTGGAAAAGGTTTTGCCTTTAAGAGCAATCTTGTTGTACACCAGCGAACTCATACTGGAGAAAAACCCTTTTTGTGCAGTGAATGTGGAAAAGGCTTCACCATGAAACGCTATCTCATTGTACATCAGCAAATTCATACGGGAGAGAAGTCTTGTATATGTAGTGAATGTGGAAAAGGCTTTGCCATGGAAGCTGAGCTTGCTTTACATAAGCAAGTTCATACTGGAGAAAAACCTTATGGATGCAATGAATGTGGTAAAGGCTTTACTGTGAAGAGCCGTCTAATTGTTCATCAACGAACTCATACAGGAGAGAAACCTTTTGTATGCAGTGAATGTAGAAAAGCCTTCTCCTCCAAGAGAAATCTCATTGTACATCAGCGAACTCATAATGGAAACAAATTCTAACAATGCACTGGACATGGTCATGCCTTTGGGAAGAAAATATGTCTTGTACAACATCAGAGATTTCACAGTATAGATTTTCTTTATGTGTACCAAGTATGAAAAAGATCATATTTCAAAATCCAGTGTTATCCACTAGGATGAATGCCATCAATGTCAGAAAGCCTTCAACATGAATTCAGGCTCTGAATTCTTTGATGTACCAATGTATATAAAATAACTCATCTGAGAGAGATTCTGTGGATTGGGAGTAATCTTTCATTTGTCAGTCTTCATTAAAATTACAAAAACGTGCACATGAGAAATGTATAAGGTAAATAATCCTTTTGCAGAGAATCTGATTGTATACAAGCAAACTCATGCAGAGGGAAAACCATGTTAGTAATGTGAATGGATTAAACATCGCTGTGTTCCTAGCATACATATATGTAGGCAGTGTAGAGCAGCCTGTTGCCAGATTTTCACCCTTGGAAGATTATGCAATTTGTAGGAGTGAATTTTAATGAATGCAGAGAATGCACTAGTGCCTTAGGTGATTAATTACCTCATATTGTGTATCACAATAAACGTAGGAAATAAACTTGACATATCCAATGCAGAAAAGTCTTGACAATTTTCTAAGTAACTATGTCTTGAAAAGTATTTACTGTGATAAATCTTACAAAGGGGGAGGCTAGGAAAGCCTTCTATGGGAAGAAAGACCCTATGTCATCAGTGATCATAATAGATCATCAGTGAATTTACACATACTAGCAGCATTATCATGGGAAAGGCTTTGCCCAGAAATAAAACCTTAACAGTTGGCAGATATATTTCATACTGGAGAAAAAAATTCAGATGGCAGTGAATACAGTAGGATTTCAGTGATACATTCTGCCTCATGATCATCACTTCATGCAGAAATAAAACTTATGTGAAGAATAGAAAGGATCAGGAAATTCATGAAGTAAAAAAGCCTCATGAAAATGATACATATTTGAGGGCTTTCTGTCACAAACCTAAACTCATGATACACTTGATGTCTGTTCTGGGACAGCATACCTTGCATCATAATTATCAGTGATTCCATAATTGTAAAGTGGGCTGTTCTTATCATTGATTAAATTTTAATGCTTTATACAACACAGCCTGTTTTCTGTGTCAACCTAGTATGATTTTTCTTACATATTGTAGGCCCTAAATTTATTTTTTCAGTCTATTCATAAATGTAATTTGGTATATTTGGATGTGTTTATCCAAGTTAGTAGGTACCATTATGTAGTTTGCAAAAATGTCATAAATATTATTTTCCTAAAATTTGTTTTGAAGTAATTTTAGATTCACAAGAGATTATACGAGTTTCCTGAGTACCCTTTGCTTACCATCATCAGTGTAACCTTCCATAACCATAATAATCAAAACCAATTAGATGACATTAGTAAGTACAATGCTGTCAAAGTACAGCCTTTATTTGGAATTTCCCACTTCATGCGGTAATTGTGGTTTTATTTATTTTTCTGTAGAGGTCTGAGAAATTCTCTAAGATGTATAGATTTAAGTAAATCCTACCACAATCAGGATGTGGAACTGTTGTGTCAACAGAAAGAAACATCCTCTTGCTACCTCCTTTTTTTTCTTTTTTTTTTTTTCGAGACAGAGTTTTGCTGTTGTTGCCCAGGCTGGAGTGCAAGAGTGCAATCCTGGCTAATGGCAGCCTTCACCTCTCAGGTTCAAGTGATTCTCCTCCCTCGGCCTCCCAAGTAGTTGGGATTATAGGTGCCTGCCACCACGCCCAACTAATTTTTGTATTTTTATAGTAGAGATGGGGTTTCACCATATTGTTCAGGCTGGTTGAACTAACCTTGGGAGAACCACCCGCCTCCGCCTCCCAAAGTGCTGGGATTATAGGTGTGAGCCACTGTGCCCTGCCTGCTCTTGCTACCTCTTTATACTCAGACTGTCCTCCCAACATAACCCACAGTAACCACTGATCCCATCACTCTTAATATTGTCATTTCAAGAATGCTCCTAAAATGGAATTGTAAGGTATGCAACCTTTGAAATAGGGCTTTGTTCACTCAGCACATTACCCTAAGATCCATCCAAGTTACTGGGCATCTAGTTTTAATTTTTGTTACTGAGTTACTATTCTTTTAAATGGATGCACTGGGATTTGTGTATCCATTCAGTGTTGATGGACATTTGGGTTGTTTCCAGTGTTGCTGTTATAAATAAAGATGCTGTGACTGTGTACCTGACACTGTGTGAACATAAGTTTTTTATATCTTTGAGATAGACATCTGGGGCATGACTGCTGATGAATATGTAAGTTTGTGTTATACTTTGAAAGAAACGGCCAAGCTCTGCCAGAGTGGCTGTACTAATTTACATTGCCACCACCAGTGTGTGAGCATTCCATTTGTTCCATGCCCTTTCTAGCTCTTGGCACTGCCAGTGTGCTAGCTTTCCTATTGGGTACGTGGTAATATGGGATCATGGCCTCAATTTACACATCCCTAACAGAAAATGACATTCAGCATCTCTACATCCACAGAGAACCATATCAAGTAACAATTGTAACTGTTGCTTCTAACCAGCAAACATAATTTTTAAAACTCAAAAGAATGTATTTTACCTCTCTCTGTTCCTTTTTCTTCATTTCTGATGTTGTTTTCCTTTGGTTATTTCCTTTTTATGTGAACTTCGTTAATCATTTCTCTTTAAGCAGGCCTGCTGGCAAAAAATTACTAGTTTCCCTAGAAACAGCGTTCCTGTTTTCTCTATCCAGAGTTATTTCCCTTGATCTAATATGGAGATTTAATCCAGTTTATAAATGGTGAGTTCTCTTTATAAAAGAAATGGACATTTGCCATAAAGTACTGTGGCAGAATTCAATCCCTGACTCCATATTGAGTAATTCACTCCTTTGGAAATACTTTTTGAGCTTCTACACTATGGCAGGCATGTTGTAGACAATGGAGACACATCAACGAACAAAACAGGCCAAGTGATGGCTTTGATACGGCGTACAGTCTGGTGAAGGAGACGAGTAAGAGAAATACAAAACTGAATTCAGATAAGGGCTACAAAGAAATATAAAGCCTAGTAAGTTCATAAATGGTAATCAAAGAGTTACTTTAATTAGAGTTTTCGGGGATGGCGTTTCTGTGCAGATGTAATTTTGTTTTCTATTTTTTGCTCTGTCACCCAGACTGGAGTGCAATAGCTGGATCTCGGCTCACTGTAACCTCCGCCTCCCAGGTTCAAGTGATCCTCCTGCCTCAGCCTCCTGAGTAACTGGGATTACAGGCGCTCACCACCACACCCGGCTAATTTTTGTATTTTTAGTAAAGACGGGGTTTCGCCATGTTAGCCAGGCTGGTCTCTGTTGGGGTCCGGCACGTTTGCCGGGGGGCTACCGACCTGCGGGAATCCCCGAGACCGCCAACGTAGATGTCTCGTTCAACCTGAGGGAGAGAGCGCGCGGAAGTGAAAGAAGGAAGGAAAGCGGAGTCTGGAGGTCTGAATGACTTGTAGTCAAGCAGTGACTTTATTTTTGTAAGTGACAGCTTTTATACCTTTTTTCTTGCTACATTTACTTTAGCTCAGAAAAGGGGGCAAACAGAAAAGGGAACAGAAATCACATAAAAATAGTTATCAGGGGCCTGTGATAACAGCTCACAAAGCAGTTTAAGAGTTAATCTATGTTTTTCAAAGACACACAGTGCAAGCAAACAATGGTGCCCTTAAGGGGGCTTGTTAATCATGCTTTTCATCAGGAGGTAGAACAGAGGCTCAGCTCCTGAGAGAATATGGGCAGGGGTCTCTGCCCCTCTCAGGCACCTCAACTGCGGCAAGTCTGTTGCTTACACAGAGACTAAAGGGGATATGAAGCAGTCAGCACAATGGCCTCATAAACCACAGGCCCTTACTCTGCATTCTATTTTTGCCTCAGTGGCTCAGCCATTTTTACCTCGACTCGACATCCCTCGAGAGCGGGGGGAGGGCAGATAGGTCCAGCAGCCAAGATGGGGCGAGTCACGCGAACTCTCTCAAGCCCTTGGCGTGAACACTGCAGGTCTCAAACTCCTGACCTCAGATAATCTGCCTGCCTCAGCTTCCCAAAGTGCTGGGATTACAGGTGTGGGCCACCATGCCCGGCTGCAGATGTAATTGGAACCAAAGCCCAAGTGTACTATGGGGAAATAGCCACCATATGTGTAAGCCCAGAACACTACAAAACTTTTTTTAAATGGAGACAGTCTTGCTCTGTTGCTCAGGCTGGAGTGCAATGACATGATTTTGCCTTACTGCAACGTCTGCCTCCTGGGTTCAAGCAATTCTCCTTCCTCAGCCTCCCCAGTAGCTGGGATTACAGGAACGTGCCACGAACGCCTGGCTAATATTTTTGTATTTTAGTAGAGATGGGGTTTCATCATGTTGCCCAGGCCAGTTCAAACTCCTGAGCTCAGGCAATCCACCCGCCTTGGCCCCCAAAGTGTTAGGATTACAGGCGTCAGCCACTGCACCTGGCCTACTACAGAACTTTCTAAGTGTTTTCTTTGGGGTTCCTACCTCAGCATTCTCTGAGACGCTTATAAAAGAAGTTTGCAAGGCCCTTGAATCACCTTCCTTGTCCCTTGAGTTGGCATACTTTGCCGTGGCAAAGACTATGAGCCCACTCCTGAAAATGATCAGTGAGGGTCCCATCATGGGCTGCTCACAGTCCTGTGGACCAGGTGCTAAACTTACCTACCAGATACTGACATTCCTACAGAGATTAACATTCTAGATAAATGAGGCTGAAATTTAATCCTGGATGGAATATGTTATAACCCTCAAGAAATTATACAAGCATGAAATTCTTATTCTTTAGAAATTACAAAGCAAGTAAAATGCAGAATTTTTTTTTTTTTTTGAGATGGAGTTTTGTGGTTGTTACCCAGACTGAGTGCAATGGCGTGATCTCGGCTCACCGCAACCTCCGCCTTCTGGGTTCAAGCAATTCTCCTGCCTCAGCCTCCCGAGTAGCTGGGACTACAAGCACGCACCACCATGCCCAGCTAATTTTTGTATTTTTAGTAGAGACGGGGTTTCACCTTGTTAACCAGGATGGTCTCGATCTCTTGACCTCGTGATCCACCCGCCTCAGCTTCCCAAAGTGCTGAGATTATAGGCATGAGCCACCGCGCCCAGCCTCAAATGAAGAAATTTTAAGTCACCATAATTGTATGGAAGAGTCAAATATTGTTAGTATATTCTCCAGAATTTTTCAAATGCATTAGTATATTTATTTTCTGAAAGAAAACAGACTATTTTGCATTTATTATACCATGAACTTATACATCATCATACCTAATTTTTTTTTTTTTTTGAGATGGAGTTTTCGCTCTTGTTACCCAGACTGGAGTGCAATGGCGCGATCCCGGCTCACTGCACTCTCCGCCTCCTGGGTTCAGGCAATTCTCCTGCCTCAGCCTCCTGAGTAGCTGGGATTACAGGCACGTGCCACCATGCCCAGCTAATTTTTGTATTTTTAGTAGAGACGGGGTTTCACCTTGTTGACCAGGATGGTCTCGATCTCTTGACCTCGTGATCCACCCGCCTTGGCCTCCCAAAGTGCTGGGATTACAGGCGTGAGCCACTGCGCCCGGCCTAAGACAGCTTTTTACCAAATTAACTTTTAGAATTGCTGTGTCAAAGAAAACGAAAAAATTAAATTGGTTCTAGGTTGCCTTCCAAAAAGGGAATATTTGCTTAAATCTTCTGCAGTTACAACACCAACATCTGCAAAAATAGAACTAACATTTTTAAGTGTGACTTTAAAAAAAAATCTAGAAACTATGCAAAGTAGGATGATCGCATTCTAATAATTTCATATTCTTAAGTGCCCCATTGTCATCTTCCTTTACTTGTGGAAGGAAACATGTAGATATTATTAATACACTTGCCCCTTCACCTCCTCCCCTTCCCCAGCGGCAGTAGTTTTGTAGCAAGCCCCACGTGGGTACTAGTATTTAACAGAGCATCACTCCTATTCTCAGCTTAGTCCATTTAGTCAGAGTCTAATTAACCTACAAAAGCCTTACCTAGTCCACAAGCCCCGCCCTGTCCCCAAATCTAACACTTTCTGTGACCACTGGCTCTGGCAAGTCTTGTGGCCGCTTGCTACCCAGCACCGTGGCTTCTTCAAACCTTGTTTATGTTTCCAAATTGTCCTGGGTCTGAGCATCTTCTAGGTCTTACGGTCGCTGCCTTCCTCTAAGATGGCCGCGCCCATGGTGGTCCAGCTAAGGCTCCAGTCTCAGCTATAACGGGCACAAAGGGCGCCGCCATCTTTTCCTCACCCCCAGCCAGCTGAATAGAATGCCACTGCGCCGCTTTGGCCTTGGCTGGGCACCCGACTCTTAAAGCTGGCGTGGTTAGCCCAGCGCTGCTGAATGTCCTTTACAACGCAGAGAGAAAGGCACTGAGGTAGCCGAGAGTGCTTTCCACAGCCATTAAGGCCGCTCCTGTCAGAAACGCGGCGATGGGCGCAGCCTTGTGACGTCACAGAGCGGCCCCAGCAGTCTGAACTCGCGATCTCGGGCAGGCTCCGTGGTCCCGCCTCCCTCCAGCGTCGACGCCGCAAAGCGTCCCGTGGGCCGCCTCGGGAGCGCGTCTGAATAGGAAAAGGTTTCGGACTTGCATGCGGCTCATTGCCGGCTGCCGGTGGTGTCCGGAGAGGTTCGGGCTCAGGTGAGTCGGGTTCTGGGCATGGACTCGCGGCCTGTGTGTCTGTGTACCGGATGGTGCGTGGAGCATCCTGGTTGGGCTGTATTTGAACGCCGTCGCTGAGGAAGCCGGGCGTTAATGACGGGCCTTTGGCCGCAGGGATGAAGAGTCTGAGGAAATCAGAGACGAGTCCGACTCTGTCTGGGTTTGGGGGTCCCTGTGAGTCACTCGCCTTGTGGGGCTCAGTGATTGGGAACTGGAGTGAGTTTGTACCCATGAACTCCGGAGCCTCGTTCAGGGCCGCGATTTAATGTGGGGCTTAGCCTTAGAGACGTCTGGGTTGGGGATATGTCCTTTCGGTTTCCTAGACGTGTCTGGGGTTTTATATGGGATTTAATATGGGGCTGAGACACGGAGACCCCTGGTGGGGACTGTCAGTATGGGAGGAGGTCCAGGGCCCCTTGTTAATTGGTTGAAACCTTGACTGCGGGGACAGCCCTGAAGGCTGCGTTTCTCCTGCTCAAACCCACTTACCTCCATCGAG